TCGTTGAGAGCCATAACATAGATCAGTGCCCTGTTAGTGCCACTATTTTTAGGACTGTAGGTCCGTGGTTGTTTCATTCCTACCACCTGCTCAGTGCAGTGCAGGCTTCACAAGGGAAGAGGGACTGGAGAGGGAAAGGTAAGTATGGTATTAACCCTCCCACAGAGAGTCTGGAGCTGTTAGGAAGCTCTTCCACCCACAGTGTCTATTACAGCAGTTGTTGGACTGCTCTACGTTATCTTTCAGTTTTCTGTGTGCCCTGGGGAGGGATTTTGGCCCACAGCCCACTGCCACCTTCCCAGGCAAGATGCAGTGACACCCCAGCCCCAGGCAGAGAGCACAGCCGGGACCCAGCCCCACTGGCCACTCCTGCTTGGACCTCCAGGCTCTTCCCACAAGGCTTCCCCTGGAGCAGGTGTAGCACCTTCCAGAATTAGTCTCAGCCATTGCAAATCCAGAAGGTGTCTGGCCCTGACAGAGCACACACTGCACTCTGGGCTGTGGGATGCCCTCCAGACCTGGCCAGAGACCCTCCAAGAGCCAGAGATTGATCCAAGAAACTTGTGGCCACACTGAGGACCCACCAGGGACTTCCCACCTGCCAAACCTCTGTCCCATGAGGGATGGTCATATGCTGAGCAAGCTCCACACCATTTTGTCAAGTGGCTGGTGGACATTATTGTCCACTCTGACTCACAGGAGAATGCAATACAATTGCAATACGGTCACTGTCAAAAACAAAGTGATGTGTCACCCTACCTTACAAGTAGGTAAGAAACTGAGTCCCCAGAGGGACTGGCAACAAGTGCTTCCTCCCAAGTCTGTTCTGTGTGTATCAACATGCGATATGAGATCTGGAAAGTCATATTAGTATGTGTAGATTATATGTAAGTCTGCATACTTATGGCATTGACTGTTGCACCATGATAAATACATTTTGTTTTGGTTTGATGACTCCATTTTGATGTGCTGTGTTTATTTCAACTCCAGAAATGGAAACATTGGCAATACCTGGCTAACCGGCTGCAAATGATGGAACCATCAGAAAGGTTGTTTAAATTCTTATGAGTCGATGTTTTTTAATGTAAATACTTCATGTGTGATTTATGTGATATTTTCATTCTGACAGCTTGGCATTTATCACAAAAGATAGATAACACATATGATGTGATAGTTTATCAGCTCTAAAAAAAATAACCATCCCCGACATGTGGAAAACCAAGTCTGGGCTTGGGGTAATGATTATGGTTGGGCTGGGGCCAAATTGGATAACATTGAAACTTATAGAAAAATCCAAATTTAGATCCACCATACAGTGGTCCCTAGACCACCACGTACACCATGCCACCTGCCACCCCCAGGGAGAGCTGGGAGAGTTTGGGAACTAGGAAAGGATTAGGCCTGAACTCAAAGCTCAGACTCATACCTGACATCCTTTTATTCTGAAGACGAAGTCAATGCAAGTCTTTAATATGATTCCCTGTCCTTATCTTTGTTCACACAATAAGTTAAAACCGGCACATATGAAAGATGTAAGAGCTGGGAGAGGCTAAAACAGAGAGGCTGGAATATTTCAACACAGTTGCTTACCGAAGAAGGTGATAGAGAGGAAAACAAGAAATGAGAAAAGAAAAGATGGTAGAATAATGTAAATTAAAAGAGAACAGAGTTCAGCTGTAGCTAACATAATTCCCAAATGAGCAGCATAACTCAGTTATGGCAAGCTTAGTCCAGACACAGGCAGGATGAGTTTCAGCCTTCTTGTGAGCTGCTACTGCAGCCACCCATGTCTTTAAATACCATACCCAAGGTCTTGGGATGGCCAGTTTTGTCCCATATGTATTCCAAGATGGAGAATTATATTTGGGTCCTCAGAAGTGGCCATGTTAAACAGTATTATTAACTGACATGAACAAGCTCTGGCAATCCCATTATTATGATGGATTAGGCAGAGAACTGAGACAGTTTATATGTAGTTTAACCCTTTTCAGTGTCCTCAAAAGCCACTCTATTATCCAGTAGCTCTCAAGCTGTGTCATTGGCAGGGTTTGGAAAGCATTGAGGGTTTCTGCTTCCTCAGCCACTGTGTTCTGACCCAACTTTGGGGCTTTTATTTGAAAATCCATCCCTAAGCTGCAAAAGTCCTCTCACACATGGAGCTTCCTCCTGTGACTTGCTGTAGCCTCTGGTGGTGACCAAAAAGTTGGGAGCAGCTCTTGTTCTAGCCTGGGACTGAATATGCTGGCTTCAACAGATCTCCCACTCAGGAAGCACCTGAACAACCATCTGTACAGCAGAACTACCTCTGTACTTTAGCAGCCCTTCACTCCCACTTCTTCATCTCTCTTGCCATTGCCACAGCTGCCTGATGCAGGATGAGGGATCTGCTCCCTAGCAGTATAGGGGTTAACACTGCTCTTCAAATCCCAAGTCAGAGGATGGAATGGACAGGTTCTTGAATCAGATTGCAAACCAGGCAGCTCTATGGAAAACATCTTTTACAGAGATTTTGTATCCAACTGCAGACTGACTACTTTGACAATGGAGTGTTGGCATGCACCAGCAGGTTTTGTTGAACTTTTAGGGCTATGGCTTTTCATGTAGAAATGGGTGTTTTGGAGTGCTTTCTCACTGGGATAACCTGTACCAGATTTCCTGTTGGGTTTTAATAATTAGAAGAGGCTGAACAGTTAAGCAAAGTGAGGAAGTCCAGCAAATACTTGTCTTTCTCCTGCCTTTTCTCTCTCCTCTCCCCCCCTCTCTTCTTTTCTTTTTTCCTTGTCCTTCATCTTCTGAAGTCTCCCAGCACTGGGAATTCACCTCTTGATTATTGTACAGCTCTTCAGGCATTTTCTAGAACCTCCCTATGCTTCTGAGCAAAGCAGGTGAGATGTGGCAATGTGCTATCGCAACAGAAGAAGGAAGGAAAGGATGTAATCCAGGGAGGCATCAGCTGTGTTCTGTGTGTGTGTGAGCAGTGAGCACTGTCACTGATGTTACAGCCTACAGAACAAAGCCATGATGCTTAATTCTGTGGCACAAGAGGCCAAGAGAGATTATTTGTCTTTAGTTCCTAAAAGCATTTCAGACTAACCAGTTCCTCTGATTTCTGCATGGTAATAATCCTCCCTAAGTTTTCTGATTTCAGTTTGTGCTCCAACTGGTAGTGCACGCAGGATTTCAGTCCAATTTTCGTATGGGTCTTCCTGCCTATCATTGTTAGCACAAAGCCCTTCTCAGAAGATCTAAAGCCAGATCCCCTGATGGGGAAGGTTCCCTTTGGTCCGCTGCTTCCAGCAAACCTTTGGTCTCTTACACCAGCCCAAAGTCTGGGCTGTTCTATACTATGACAGCTTTCTGTTGGGTACTCTCCTCTTTGTAGATGAAAGCTCCCTTTTCCAGCCCCTTCTCAAAGCCTTTGGGAACATTGCATTTGACATTTGAATGAAGCACAACATGCCTGTCGAGGTAGAAGCATGCTCCAGGCACACCATGTGGAGTCAATGCTCCCTTGGCTGATGCCTCCCCAGTCAGGCTTGGCCAAGTCACAGCACTTGCCTGTGCCTCCTCAGTCCTGCTTGTACACTGGAGTGCTTCCTGAGCCCATGGGAGCAGTGTAGTGCTGTAAGCCTCTGCAATTGTAAGGCTGGAAGAAATTCTTAGAAGAAAATCACTGTAGAAACACAGTATTATTCTAATGGCCATTATTTTTTCTCATGAGACCACTAAAATCTGCAAAAGTAGCTTCTTTCTGGGAGGTGCTATTGCCATGAGTAAGTGCAGAAACACACCATGCACCCAGATAGATGGGTATATATGGATACACGGGGGAGAGGCAGCAGTGACAGTAAGTGCGCGTGAAGCTTTTAGCAAGCATCGGTGCAGAACTTCTCAGCCCAAGAGCTGTCGTGATCCCGGCGAGAGGCATGGCACGATTTCCCCAGGAGCACCTAGGCTTCCTAAGAGCTCTCGAATGGATGTCAGTGTCTCCTCCTAGCCGCCTCATTGCAGCAGGAGACACCGGGGAGGGAGTGATATTTCCATTCCAGTAATGAAATCTTGGCATTGCTCCAGTCCCCTAGGAATTCCTATCAGAAATGTAAATGACTTGGGGGAGGGAGGAGTGAAGATTAGTGTTTGGAATGGAATTATGTGATCTTGTCCTGCCTCAGTTTCTCCATTCCCTTCTTGGGGATAAGGTAGTTTGCCTGCACTCCTCCGTTTAGCCAGTCTTCCATAGTATTGCAGGAGCTGCTAGGCAAGTGCTGCTCACCGATGGCTGTGGTAGAGCCGAAAGCTGCATCGTGTTGTAACGATATTGCTCCTTATGGCGCCTTTCAACCCAGATTTTCACCATAACTCCTACGAAAAGGCAGCGCCGGATTTTTTAAAAACTGTAGATGACTTTTTCCACGCCGTGCTGGTAACCCTGTGGCAGCAGAGATCTCCCTCCTCAGCTCTCTCCCTATTTTTCCACTAGCGGAAAAGAGGGCAGGGCCGAGCCGATCCAGCTCGAAGGGCACGGGTGGATCTCTTCACCTTGCCGGTGCTCCACCACAGGTCAGGGGTGGTCCACAGGGGTGGCCGGTATCCCCAGAGCCGGGGTCCGAACGGTGATGGGAGCGTGGCCGGGGGAAGGAGCCGGAGAGGGCCGGCCGGGGGAGGTGGGACTGGAGGTGCTGTGTGCATGAGGCGGGGTACCGCTCATCCCGGCAGAGCCTTGGGTTGGGGGGACCGAGCCCCGGTGGTGGCCTCAAGCCCTTCTCCCCTGGGGGGCTGGAGGATGCGCGGGGGGTCCTGAGGGGCCAGGGTGGCCTCCCGATTCCGCATATAGGTAGGGGGATACTGGTTGCCTGGCAGCTCCCGCGGATGTGGGTCACCCCCTCCCGGCGCTCTGGAAACCAGGCCGCCCTGTGGAGCAGCCCTCGGGGGGCGCCGCCTCCAGACACCCCCTTGGCCCTCTGCCGCTCCCGCCCCGGCCCGTCCCACCCGGCCGGGGGCTCCGAGCCCCGGAGCCGTCCCGGGGCGGCGGGGCGAGGGCAGCAGGCGCCGTGATTCGCCGCTTGGGGGGCGGTGGGCGCCCGATCATGCATATTCATGAGCGTGATGTCAGAGGGAGAGCACAGCGCGCGGTGACCGCTCGAGAGCGCCATTTCCTGGAGGAGGCGGCGACGGCTGAGTAGGGACGGACAGACGGACGGACGGAGGGACGGACGGACGCGCCGAGTGGCGCCGCGGTGGCTGCGCGCCGGCAGGGGGAGATCGCTCGGGGTGGCGACCGGACCGGAGCGGACCTGACCCGACCCCACTGACCCGCGCCGTCGCCCCGCGGCGGCTTCTACCGCGGCTCGTTTCGGCCGGAGCCGCAGCCAGAAGTTTGAGCTTCCCCGTAGCCCCCCGGAGAGCCCGGTGTCGGGCGGCGACGCGGGGCTTCCCCAGCCGCTGTCGCCGCCACCGCCGCCTGCAAGGGCGGTGGGAGCCCCCCGCGCCGCCGGGAGCAGGGGGGAGGATGGTGGTGCGGGAGCGATGGAGCTGAAGCGGAGCATGGCGATCCCGCGGCTCCTCGTGCTGGGACTCTGGGCTGCGGCGCTCCGGGACATCGCTGCCGTGGCAGGTGAGCGGGGCTGACAGCCCGCCGGCGGGGCAGTGCCGGCGGGGCAGTGCCCCCCGAGGTCTCTGGGCGCTGCAGGAGGGGCTGCGGGGCACGGCTCCTGCTGCTGACAGTGTCCTCCCGCGGGCAGCCCCCGCCTCGATGCCTCTACAGGTGTCGGCGGGGGCTGAGGGCGAGCGCGGGTTCGGCCGCCAACAGCGGCCGGATGCCTGCGGGCCGGTCGCCGCGGTGCGGGGTCCACTCGGTGCGGCGGCCGCGGGGCCTCGGGCAGCCACAGGTGGGGTCGGGGCCGGCCCGGTTTGCCCCTCTCGGCTGGGTGCGGGGGCTCCGCCGTGTTCGTGGGGCCAGCGGCGGGGCCAGCGACGTGGCGCTCGGGCGCCGGCGGGGAGCCCGGGCTGTGAGAGCCTCGCCCGCCTGCGAGTAGAGCGGCGAGCTGGAGCCCGAGTAATCCTCCCCGGTGTGTGCGGAGGCACTGCTCTGGTATGTGCCTGGCGCGGGTCGTCGCCGAGGAAAGCCGGGCGCTAGCGCATTCCTGAGTGGCTTTTGTTGGTGTTCCCCTCCTGAACTCGTATTCCGAAGTTTCACCTCCGTGTCGGCAGGGAAAGGCAGCGCGTTGGAGCGTCTCGGCGTCCCGACTTCGCCGGAGTTTAGCTCCGCGCTGCATGTGGAGCGATGTGCGTGCAGTGACACGGAGCTGGGGGGGCTGTGGCACAGGTTGGATCGCTAGATCAGTGTCCTGAGGAATCTGAGGAGCGAAAAGCCTTTACTTTGGCGCGCATGAGCAGATTTCTTTCTCTCCAGTCTCAATATAACTTCACATAAAACACACTTTGTTCCTATGAATGAAAATATTCAGAGATAGCAAGTTTAAAAAACAAACAAACATATATGTCATGTATTTTGACAACTAGTTTGTTCTCTTGCTGTCAGTGCTTACAACTGCCTGGTAAGAAATTTAGTACAGTTTGTTTCCTATCTATACATTTCAAGACCTGCAGCTCTTACAGGTAGGCTTGGCGGAACCTATTTGGATGAGATTATTTCTTGCAAGGTCAAGAATGTTGTCAGGTGAGAAATCGTGAGTGGGAAAATAGAAGGAGGAATAGGTGGAAATTAAAATCCCTATCTGCCTCTTATGTGATTCTCTCTGATACCTACAGAAAGAGATGCTGCAGCCAAAACTGCATTTATGTCATGTGAATTTATTAAAAATCCCCAGTATGTAATTCTTCATTTCAGTTGATATTGATGGAGGGATTATACCTGGACCATGTGTACAACTCAGACTGAACACTTGTACTGTCTGTTAATTTCCTACATCATTAATTTCTATACAAAATGAAAACCATAAAGGGTCTCTAACAACATTTCTTTGTTTAATTTGTGACTAACTCTTTCAGCATGGCAGTCTGAAGGAAGCTTAGTAGTTTGGTTTTCCATGAAGACACATGTAATGAAAGTGTCTGTCAAGTTGTGCGTGTGTTCAGCAGCCTGGCTACATTAATTTTCTGTAACACAGAGAGAGCTGCTATGAAGCTTTCATGTTATATTCCACTATCATGAGGGGTGAAAGGGAGGATGCTTTCTGGCATGCACTGGGACATATTGTTTGTGTTATGTTTGAGTTAAGTAATGTGAGGTTAGATCATCCTCACCCAAGGTGATTAAATCCTTAAGCCTTAGCCCAGCAAACGAGCTGTAGCAACTAAACTAAGATGATCAGCTTGTCTGGTTTCCAATGCTGTGAATTTTTGTCAATTAATAACAGCAGATAGAAAGGCAAAAGACTGAGTGTGGGAAACCAGCTGTTAGGCTGGGGGATCTCATTAAGGAAAGGAATAAAGACCTTCTGCCTGCTCCTAGGCCGCTGGTACTCATCTGGGTGCCGGCTGCTCGTGGCAGAGCGCTGGCTGGTCCCACAGTGTTGGTTCCCCTTCTCCCAGCTGTTACAAGCACACTGTGAGTTCTGCTGCTGCTGCGCTGCCCTGTGAGGTGGTGCCCTCAAGGCTGTGGGACGGTGGCGTTTTGGCAAGAAGGAAAGGGGCACATCAGAAATCTGTGTTGGATTACTGATAAGACTGTAACAGAGTTTGAGAGCAACAGGGCTGCTCTGGATTTCACTACTGCTGTTTTTCTTTCTGGCTCTGGGTGCTAGCAAGGCATCCTGTGAGAAGCTGACCAGCTAGTGAACTGGGAGAAGTTGTAATGTATGGGATATATATGGCCGGGCAAGAGTGATGGAGTCATTTTTTTATGAAGGATGTGGAGTCCACTGCCAGGGCATAATATTGAGTTAGGCTAGACCTGTTCTGGTCTGTCAGTCCTGTGCCACTGCATAGGAAATGGCCACTCTCCCTAACAAAACTAACTTTACATTTATTCTCTACCTTCCTGCTTTCCCACAGTCTCCTTTGATCTTCTGGTTCCTCCTTTATATGCCTTTCTTTCTTAAATGCACTTAGATAGTTAGCTTCCGTGTCTTCTCATGGTAACAAATTCCATATATTCGCTTCTGCTTGAGGGAAACACTCCCCATCCACCCACACATGTAACAGTGCTCCAGGCCAAATTCTGATCACTTCTGTGTCAATATAAACCTGAGCAGCTCCACCAACTCTGGCCCTGCTGCTTTGGGGTCGCAATGGTATAGCTCTGGGTGCAATGTGGTCCTTTGGCTGGACTGGAGGGTCCTCCAGGGAGGCTCATTTGAGCACACACCCACGTCACGCAACACAAATATCTATTCTCTAAACAGTTCTGCTCCTCAGCAAGGTATGCTGTGGAATAGGCTTTGCTTTCATGGGTTTTGCAAATTGTAGAGAAGCTCTCTGTAATGCAGGGGAACAGTGTACACTGAATAACAAACATAATTGATTCTTTCTCATATCCAAGCTCTTTGCGAATGCATACAATGGAGCAAGCACGATGATTTCTTAGCAGCACGAGAGCACCGTAGCTTAAATTCAAGCCTGGGGAAAAGGGGGAGGTGTGGTAGCCTATTGAATGAATGCAGTTAGCACTGCTGGATCACTGACACGGTGAACCTCCCAGCATTTCTGTCTGTCTCTGCTTGGGCACTGCTCTGCAGATCCTCACCCTGCTGTTACATGAGTTGGAAAAATCCCTATGTATACACTGAACTACCACTTTTCTCCAGGAATTTTGCTTTCAGAGCTTGCATTTGACTATTGTTTAGCAGACATAGTAGAGCAGTACTGAAACAAACACACTGTCTCAGTGTGTGCTGGTAGGGTATGTAATTCCAGACCACCAACCTAGAGTAATTTGCTGTACTCCAACCCCCCTTCTTCTGGGGGTGGGGCGGAGTAGTATTTTTTTTTTAGGTATGAAATTTACAGGACCTCCAATCAAATTAAAGGTGTCCCAGGGTCAACCCGTGAAACTAAATTGCAGCCTCGAGGGAATGGAAGATCCCGAGATGTTGTGGATCAAGGACGGAGCAGTGGTGCAAAGCGTAGACCAGGTGTACATTCCAGTAGATGAAGAACACTGGATCGGCTTCCTCAGGTACAACAGATGCAGAGAAGGAAGAATAACGTGGAAACTATTGCACAGTTTTCTGCTATCAGCTATATCTATGCAACAGCAGTGCCCTCAGTGGGGCAGGGTCCTTAGGTCTGCAATTCAGTGTGTGACAAGGGCATAACTGAGAGCAGAATTGAAGCCACTGAGCACTGAGATTTTATGCACTAGAGCCATATTGGTTTCCTGACTCCTGTGGGGACAGGTGCTTTGCTAATGCCTGTGATGCTTGAGACATGACTTCAAGGTGAAAAGGATGTTCTTGCCTTGTTTGTTCATCTTGTTCTGCCATGCAGCAGTATAAATAGGTTTTCTCCCTCATACTCATTGCGTTGTCTTACTCTCTCTTTTGAGCTGTCAGTCTGCCTAAAGGGTGAGGATTGTTAATTGAAATGAGACTCCCAGGACTACATCCCCTTCCTTTCTTTGGGTAGGTGTGTTTGTCACCTGAACCATTCCTGATTCATTTTGAAATGAATTCTAATTTGTTCCTAGTACGTTTACACCACATGGTATTGGTCCTGCCCCATTCACAGGAACAGAAACTCTTCTTCAAAACAGCTCTCTGTACCTTTATTTCAGCAGAAGAGGCATGTCAGGTAGTTCTGGAAGTACTGAGTTAAACAAGACCCAAGGTTCTGCTCTGTCTTTTTTTTGTGCATTAAGAGAGCTTGTACAAACAAACATGCCATCACCACAAGAGCTCAAAACTCTTGACTGACTGAGAATCACTCTTCCCTGAGCTCTGGCTTCATCTCCTATAAGGTTTCTTGGATTGACATTTCACAGTCTCCAATTCCACCAACCAAAAGTTCTATGTTAAATCTCACCTGTAAGAAACAATTTGATAGGAAAAAACATCTGCGCACAGTAAAACTATTGCATAATATTATGTTGTGGAAATAGTTCGTCTTGAAACTATACTGTTTACTTCCCCCTAGTTCCACTAGTTAACTTTGCCCCTCAATCTCTTGGTCTGTTCTCCTTTCTTGCCTCTTGTTTCCTTCCACTTATCTCTGCAGCACCAGAGATAAGTTAGGATGCTAAAGCTGGACGTGTTTGTGTCTTTTTCTCCTTTTTCCTTTCTTCTCCTAAAGCGACCATTTCTGCCACCCACTGTGTGGTGCAATCGCTGTGTTTCAGAACATGTGGTCCTGGATCAGGACAGCTGATGCTATTTGAAGTTCCAGCTCTGAAAATCAGGCTGTAGTGGGTCCATTTTGTGCATTTTGGCAAACACTTTCCCTTTTCTGTCTTCCTTCCTGAGATGTTCTTCCCCTTCTCCAAGGAGGACTGCCAGTGTTAGAAAGGTGGGCATCAGATCTGTGGAGGAGCCCTGCATGGCAGCAGACCCGTGGCTGCAAATCCTATGGGGGGCAGTCAACATTGGTGCATTGACAGGCACTCAGAATCATACTGACGCCTTTGTAGCTGAGGCCTTGTTGCTTTGGGACCAAATTCTGCCTTTGCTCACCATGCACTGGAGCAGGCCAGCATAGCCTCTTGAAATCACAAACTCAGAGACCCAAGGAGCTTTGCAACTCTTGGGATGAGAACAGCGCCGAGTGCAGTTGAGGTGAGGGGGGCCCTTTTTTGACCCACCTGTTCCTTTATGAGGCTGTTGCCAGTCCTGTCACCTAACTGAGGCAAAAACAGGCTCGTTGGAGGCTTGCAATTCGGAGTTTCCTGCTGTCTCAGATGCTGTCGCTCTTGGAGGCTAGCTAGAGTCATGCTTAAGGATTGAGATGACCAACCCTTCCTATCCTGAGAGGACACAGATGACTGTTTTTTTGCGAGGTTGTTTTGGAGGAAGGCTGGCTGCTCTGCTGGGGACTCTCTCCACCCACTTTAGAGAGGAGCCTCCCATCTCCGCTGTTTTGCCACATGCTTTATGCTGGCTGGCTGTTGATGTCCTCCCCAGAGCTGGCTGTGTCTCAGTGGGTGTTTTCCGTGTATCTGGTTTGCCAAACAGTGAAGGGTCCTTTGGGGCAAAAACATGCTTTATCCACATAAAATATCGATATGGCTTTTGACTTTTTTCAGCTTGAAATCCGTCGAGAGGACAGATTCTGGGAAGTACTGGTGCCAGGTTGAGAACGGGGGGAAGAAGGAAGAATCACAGCAAGTGTGGCTCATAGTGGAAGGTAAGGAGTAGTAGTAGTGCTGGTTTCCTTTCAGGGCTGACCCACCAATATGCTCTAGGTTGCAGTGGTGAGAGCAGATTGCTCCAGTGACAGGCTTCTTGGCTCTGAACCGCTGCTAACTGCAGTGAAATTGCTACAGAGCAGTAGTAAGAAATAGGAGAATTGCATCAAGGAGCAGAGCTGTCAGTTCATTGCCTTCTGGTTTTATTTTGGCATGTTAGGAAACAAGATCCTTTCATGCACACACATTTCTTTCCAGCTCCTAAATCCATTGTTGCATTCATCTCTAAATACTTTGTAGAATTGAAAGAGGTCCTTGGAGCTCATCTGGCCCAACCCACTTCCCAAAGCAGGATCACAGCCCGGTTCTGTGTATCAGCCGAACAGGTCTTTGAGGGCAAGGTACACTTTTAGCCCGGTGCTGAGTTCTGGGAGAAGTGCTGTACAGCAGCACTTCATGGCTGTGACTGTTCCATGTGGCACTGTTTGTCCAGGGTTTTTTGATAAGAACAACTTCTATATGGTTGTCCAAAAATAACCCAAGGCAGTGTGGATTGGTGGCTTCTTACTGTCTTTAGTTTCATTTCCCTTGAGCCATGATTCTGTTAGATCCCAGAAGCTAGTAGTCATAGGATGGCTTAATATTTGGTGAAGAAGTTGACAGGAACAGTACATTGGCAGCAAGAAGTGGCTTTTTGGATGTATTGGTAGCATTTTGAGCCAGAGCTGAATTGACAGTCTTAAAGAGGGGGGAGCAGGGAGGGTGTTGTGGGAGATGGTGTGGTCTGGGTGTTTTACAGCAAAGTTTTCACTGACTCAGAGCCATGGAAACATTCATAGCAGCTCTCACAGGAAAAGGAACACTTAAATTCTGCCTTCCATAAATACCAGGCTTTTGTCCACCTAAATTTTCGGGTGCAGTTTCAACCGGAGAACAGTGTTTACAGCTTAAAATGCTCTCTTTTGCATAGTTTCTATTTCTGTTCCAATTACCAGGGCCTGCTCCAGAGGTGGCTGCATCTGCATGGTGGGTGCATTAGGAGTGATTGGGTAGCTCAGTGTGCTGAGCTATCTGATACAAACAAGGCACCCTTCTGGACAGCACAGGCAAAAAGTATCAAAGTCACAAAAACCAGCTGCAGCTCGGTAGGGGGGGAGTGTATTGAGAATAAAGGCCAAAGCTGAAAGTGGAAGCGAAAAAAATGCAGCCAGTCGCCTTTACGAGAAAAGCAGTATGGTAGCAGGTAGTTGAACTGAGCATGTAATCATGTGCAAAGGGAGTTGGGGGATAAAATTAAAGATTAACAAGTAGTGATAAAGAGTGGGATTTTAAAAATGTGTCAGCTCTTGGCATAAGAAAACACCTGGCAATGCAAAAGCCTATCAGTCTCACCTTCACTGTTATCTCTATGTATTTCTTCCCTGGGTGTACCAGCTTTGCCTAGAAATGATATTGATAACAACTGTTGTCCTCTTTGACTGAGAGAGGATTTTACTCCGGTGATTTTCAGCCTCCCATAGGTGCTGACACCCTTCAGTGTGCCACACAAACAAGTGTGGACTATTGTTGATCTAACCTAAAGTGAGCTTGACTGAATTTCTGTGCTGTGTAATATCTGCTTTGAGATCTACTTAGGTAGTCTGTATCTGTCAGAATTTGTAGCAATGGCATTTGAACTGTCTTTGTAATAGAAATGTTTTATCTTATGAAACACTCATTACAATTTACAGAAACAAAATTATTTTACAAGTGTTTTCTGGTTTAGAAACTAGACTCTGGCCTTGCTGAGAACATGATAGTGTTTGTTGCCCAGAGAGGTGATCTCAGAGGCACACTGTGGAGTGTTAAAAATACAGATTATGTTTGTTACAGAACTTTCCCTCTGAAATTACACCTCTGACCACATGGCCGTTCCTGGGGCCGCTAGCCCCCATTGGCTACAACCAGAGCCCAAGCCACACATGTATGGACACATTCCCCTGAATTGACACTGTCTAAAAACTGAGCTGTACCAAAAAATCAGCCTCATAGGTTGGATGCCGGCTTGGAACAGGGAATAGGCGGGATCATTTCCTTGCTTTGCCGCTGATTTCCTGGCTCCTGGCTGCTCAGTGCCTCCGTGGTGCATCTGTGAAAGGGGCATGCTGGCACTCACCTCTTGTACCAGGAACTGGGAGGCCAAAGGTGTCGCAGACAGCGAGCCGGCCAGGTAACATATGTACAGTGTGGGTTCCTCAGCTGGATGAGTCAGCTGCACTCCCTAAGCTATGAGAGTTTTTAATTGTGGTCTTGTCTGATCTGTTTAGCTGCTCCCAAAGTGAGAAAACCTGCCGAGCTGGGCAGGATCCACCTGAAAGGTTACCTTGGGTGTCATGACAAATGGACAGGAGGCAGGGATCCTGCTCACAGGTAGAGAAAAGGTGATTATTTTCCCTTCTAATCTTCCTTGGAGAAGGAGGGCAAAGCAGGCAGAGGTATTGCAGCTGGTATCTGGAAAGCTTATTCATTTTTATTGTTTATGTATGAATGCAATAAAAAAATGAAATAAAATATGTAAACAAAACCAAACAGTAAGCCATGTTGATGGATATACCTGTCCTGAACATTAGCTTATGCACAGATAGGCACCATTATTGCTCAAATGACCTATTTTTAGATCTGTTTTAGTTTGTTCATTTACTTGCCACTCTAAATGGAGTCAAGGAAGGCACAAAAGAACTGCCACCTGAAGGACACAAACAGCGACTGGACAGTCAGTGAAAGACTGAGAGTATCACTTTTGGCTGTAGCTTAGGGGAAATGTCAAGCGTTAGGCTTCTAAATCCCTGTTTAGGCACCTCCATTAATTGCCTGCTGGTGGAGGTGCACAGCATCTGCCACACCAGTGGAAACCCCTGAGCCTGCCATCTTTGACCAGGGAGAGACAGTGTAATTTCAGCATGTGAATGCTCAATGTTTTTGGTTCCTCTGTTTCTGCAAGGCAACAAATCAGCAGTTTTCAGGACACATTTTTTCCAGCTGAGAATACCTGATTTAGGGGTAGATGCAGTCAGTAGTAGCTGTGCTTGATACCCAGAGATTTTAATATAAAAGGGAACTGAATGCTTCTCTGGGCTCTTCCGCCAACCATCAGAAGTACGTGCTGGCTGTCCTGCATGGTCAGCACTGGTGCTGATGGCTGGTGAAGTTTGTGTTACTGATTTGGAGCACTGAAACCACAAGAGTTTTGGCGTTGCCCATAAGAGGAACCACATCTCTTGATATGTTGAATTACACTCGACTATTGCCACTTAGAGATGATCTGAGGTAGTCAGCATTGCAGTTGCATTTTGCTCCCTGTGGGCCTGTTGTACCAAGCAAGAGGCTTTCCATGGTGGGGAACAGATAGTTACCAAGAGAGCTGTGTCCATGTTTCAGAGCCTTCAGCTCTGAAACAAATTACCCCTGACTTCAAGACAGCCTGGTTGTGGTGGTGTTAGAGCATGCTGGAAGGCATCTCCAGTCAATTAAGCTTCAGAGAGAGCATTGCAAATGATCCCAGTTTCTCACCGGGGGGTTTTTTCCTCATTCATGGGTTTGTTAAAGCCACTAGTTCAACACGTTCTCAAGCTTCAGGTTTTAATGCATGGCAAGAAGTATCTGTGGCTGGATTAGCTGTCTTCTAAAGTGGTGTCTGCCGCTGTTAAAGTTATTGACTGTTGCCTCTTTAAACTCCAGTCTCTTCAGCTGAAAAATTGAGCAAATACTACCACTAAGAGCTGCTTCATAGGGGAGTCTTGAAGGACACTCAGTGAAAGTGGTTTTTCAAAGGCATTTTGGGAAGCAAGCACTCTTTCTCTCAGACTTCTAGTGGTAGTATTTAAACATTCGTGCCCTGAGGTGATCCAGCGTATCTGACCCTTGGTTTTTATAAAGGGTTTAGAGGGCATCGGATTAGGCGTAGTGGCTGGGCAGATGGATGTCCAGTGTTCAGCACTGGTATTAGTGGAAATAAATAATAGACAGAAAGAGTGTCTCCAGTTATTGTCACTTGTCTGTTGCTCTTCTAGGTGTGCCCTACTTTACTGTGGAACCTGAGGATGTGTCCGTGTCCCCTAATGCCCCGTTTCATATGGCCTGTGCTGCTGTTGGTCCCCCTGAACCAGTGACAATTGTCTGGTGGATGGGAGACTCTAGAGTGGGGCTTCCAGACATCTCCCCCTCCATCTTAAATGTGTCAGGTAAGGTTGCTGCCAATGCAGGGGATCAACTTTAAGCATCAGAAGAGGAGGGCTCTCTTCTGATCATGCCTAGTGACACTGGGTAGCCACATAGTGTGAGAGTGGTGTTTGACTCTACATTAAGGGTTGAGGGGTCATGATCACATACAAAGCCAGATTGATCATCTCTCGGGGTGATGGTTGCTCAGTGTACTTTCTGCTGGTTTGAGGCACACAAGCTCTTACAGAGTTTGGGTGTGACTGGCACTCTGTTAAAGGTGCTACTGAAACCCAGTGCCGAAAGAGGCACTGGGTGCCTCTTTTGTTCCACCTCATGGAGGGTGTTCATGGTTATATTCAGTGACTCTCTCGGTGCCCTTTGGCTTGTGACTCTCCAAGCATTCACATGTAACAGATGACATCTCCTCCTGTGCACAGCCATGCCATGCACTGCTTTCCCCTCTCTTCCTTACCCCGTCTCTGTTCGAATGCCCTCGTCATTAAAACCTGACTGCCTCTTGTAATTGTTTGACACTTTTAGAGTGGTTGTAAAGGTGCTGAAGTGGGCTGGTTGATATCCTTTAAGACCAAGGTTTGCCCCAGAGCAGGCACGGTGGTACAGCAGCAGCGTCAGCAGAAGAACTTGCGAGCCAGTAGGCGTTTGGGCCTCTCTTCAGACCGCTTTCAGGGAAGAGCAATATATATCTACCAGGAACTGTCTGCAGCTATTCTTGTAGGTACAAGAGAAGGTTCTTGCCTTCTCTTAAAGGTAACTTTATTCCAGTTAGTTGTCTAACAGCTTTGGGTTATGTCTTCTCTTTGGTGCTGTTTTATTATTCTCAGCATCCCCGAGCCAAAGTGGAACTAGGTATTTAGAAAGAAAAGTTTTTACAGCTAAGAGTCATCTCTGGTGTCTCTTCATCAGTGTTAATGCAGTTACACTCCAGGTTGAGTTTCTTTTTGTACATCATGGGCCATCCTTTGAGCTATCCAATCCTATTCAGACTTCCCTTAGAACCTAATTTATATGCAAATCAAAACCTGATTTGTGATTTGCAATGGTTTTAAATCATCGGCTCTCTCTTACATAACCACTAATGCTCTTCCAAGTTGGAAATGAAAACTGCTCCCTCATGATATAATTTTCCTGTTGAAATGGAAACTGAAAAGACAGATAGTTGAGAGGGAAAGACAACAAAAAAATAAGTCACTCTTCCTCCACTAAACACATCCCATGGTGCCTCACAAAATTTTTGGCATTGTGGGGCAGTGGCATGGAGACCCGAAGAAGGATATCTATTCCTAGTGATTCTTCAAATGAATTGCTGTTGTATATATTCATCATCAGCACCTTTCTTTGCTTTTGGTGTTCTTTAGGATGTCCCTTGGGCAGGTCTTGTCTTTGCAACCAAAAAAATTGTAGCAGGATATGACCTGCATGGTCAGATTACCAAAGCATATTGAAAAGACAGTTGGTAAGAAAACAGGCACTGCTAGCTGAATAAAGTATAAAATTCTGAAGAAAATGATAATAAAGTACTGGATAGAAAGCAAACATTTAGAAGGTTTAACGGTTTTGTATTTGGAAAGCAGTGCTGGCACGGTGTTAGAGAACAAGCAGTTCTTGGTTTGTGGTGTGTTTTGTATTTTCCTCGGGGCAGGGCTGTGTTTGCTTCTTTCTTGGGACATGCCTGCCACATCAGGTGCTGCTCTGCTCTGCTGCCTGGGCTTTAGCCTGCTGACTGCATTTTCTTCTCGTCCACGAGGACGAGTGGAAGAAGCTAAAATACTCTGTTCTTTGATTTTATAGCACTCCCTCCTCTCTTCCTTTACACCTTCTTTGGAATGCCATTAATCCCAGGCTTGGAAGATGAGTCAAAGGGCAAAGACATGGTGCAAGCTGCTCTGTGCAGCTCTGAAATAGTTTCCCTTCCTAAAATGTATGCCCACAGTGTGCCAATCCTTGACTTTTCTCAGATACAGCCCCACAAGGCAACTCGGGGCCAAGTCAAGTGAAAATAGATGCTGGACACAGTTCTCCAGACAGCTTTGCAAATCTATCTCAATTCTCATTAATTTGCAATACACATGCTTTTTGGAGCAGCCAGACATCAGTATGATGCCATGTTCAGGCCCTGTGGGATGCATGTATGCTCACAGAAGACAGGGAGCCTAATTCTTACTTGTATCACCCCTGGAAAGTGCTTCAGTGCTGATGTAGTAGCATTTAACTTACATTTCCTTTGTTTGTCTTCAAGAGTCTAATGCAAGGTGAGGGACAGGTGGGCATTAACTTGAAATAGGCAGCATCTGGTTGGAGATTTGCCTGGGCTTATAACTCACTTAGAAGATGGCTGTTGCTCAGGTGCAGGCTGAGGTCCAAAGCATTGGGCATTGTATAAGCTCATGGTTCAACACAATCCTTACTCCAAAGAATTTGAGAAGTGGACATCTACTTATCGAGCACTGTGAGCTGTGTCCCTGACAGATTCTTCCTTCTTTTTCAGTGCTTTCTGAAGCTCTTGTGAAAACTTTTCTACATTACCACACTCTCTCCGTTAAAAATGTGTTTAGCACGTTAATTACGTGGAAATCCACATGCCTTTGATTGGCACCCAGCTCAGTCCTGCAACTGCCTGTACAGATTGAGCTGGATGTCACAAATAATTGAAATTCTCCTGAAGGTTGAAGCTGGATTATATAGCTGTTTGTGTTTCCTTTCCTTTTCTTGGCTGATCTCCAGGTATTAATCAAAGCACAGTTTTCTCCTGCGAAGCTCACAACGTAAAGGGATTGTCTTCATCTCGGACAGCCACTGTTCAAATTAAAGGTGAGAGTGCAAGAAACTGGGTAAGGGACTCGGGTTTGCTCTCTGGGGAGGGAAAGTAGGGCTCCTTAATGCAAGAGGTTGCCTCAAAGCTGCTGGCAGGCAGCACCAGTTTTAGCTCCTGGCAGTCAAAACAATGCTTTGTGCTCTAACGGCGGTTCCCACTTCCTATGCAGGGCCATATCCCAGGCTGTTGAAAATAAACCACATCTGATTGAGGAGTGGAAATGTGATGTCAAATAACAGTTTCTCCTTGAAAAGGAGAGAGCAGGGACAGTCAAATTGTTTGTGAGAGATGAAGCTGATGTAAATCTGTAGCTGGGGAAATCTTTCCTTCTTGGAGATAGATGGGTCTTGTTAGAGCTAAAGAGGCCATTAATTCTGCTTGCTTCTATTATTATCACATTTGATGCTGAAAAAAGTCAAGGAAGGCGATCACCAGTGGCCAGTAAGGTCTGCTCATCCACACTGGTTTTATGGATTTTATTTTTTTTAATTCTTTGCTTTTTAAAAACAAAACAAATAATTCCTAGCCTGTGTGTGACCAGTTGCCATTGGAAGTGCCCAGGTTGCTGTGACATTTCCTCTGTTCCTCCAGGTGACTGAAACGGGGATAATCAGAGCAATTAGTTCTTCCCCTCCTCTTCATGTTGAGATGCTTCTGCATTTAAATTTTTAGTCATGCTTTAATGCACATTTAATTACACGATCATCAGTTTCAGGAGAGGCATGGCACAAAAATCATTTGTTCCATATTACTCCATCACGAGTAAGAGCAAGCATTTATGTCTGTATCAGTATCACAACTCGTAGTTGTAGTAGCTAATATTCATTAAAGGAGAGCTTAAAATCCAGCTGTAATCTACCGCTCTTACAGCGTGTTTTTCTTCAGGACATTGTGGTTACTGCTATGCCAAGAATGCAGTGTGCTGAACTAGTAAGATTTCTAACTTAATTTAAAACCATTTGGAGTTGTTGCCTTAAAGGCTTGTCTACACAGGGGAGTTAGTTATTGTGGAGTATATCTTCTGTGGATATTTTTATCCTGGGATAGAATTTAGTTCACAAAGCTATTATGCTTTAAAAAATCTCATCAAGCTGTAATTTGAAAAAACATTTAGCATAAACAAGCTTTTTTATTTTCTGAATGTTAACATAGATTATTATTATTTTTATTAACCAAGATGAGGGGATAAAGACCTCAGCATTCCCAGCAATTATATGTAGCCAAAAAGTACTCTATAGGGGTCAATCATCAGCTAATGGATTCTGGGAGGGACATGTGTCCATCACACACTTTTGTCACACACACATGTTTTAGAGCTGAGAAAGAGCAATCTTAAGTGATTCAACAAATGTTGCACCAGTATGTGGCATTTCCTAGAGACAAAAATCAGGTTTTAAACAGCAAGTCCAGTGCTGTAGTCATTAAAGTTCTAACTGTAATACCTTAAAGATATATCTAAAAGCATAGTTCTAAACTTACCTACATGATGAGGGTTTTCTAAATAGAAAAAGGTTGAAGATTCTAGTATAGCCCCTGTTAAAATTAAAGCAAAGCTCTTAACAAGGGCATCAGCAGGAATAGGAGCAGGCCCAAATAATGTTTGTTTAGTCCTTGATCCTATGAACATGCAGAATTCAGTGAAATTACTCCTGGGAGTATTTGTCTGTGTACATGCATGTTCAGGGCCTTCCTCTTTTGCACAAATCCATCTGCTAATGAGGACTCTTAAGTCTTTCTACAATTTATTAAACAATTAGTTTCTTCTGTTTCCAGAGGCAAATATTTTTGCTAGGACATTTACAAACTGTTAACATTTCTTCCTATTTGTTGCTGTTGTTGTTCATTATCTATTCTCTGTAGGGCCCACAATGTGCTGGGTGTACTCCAAGCAGAAAATTACTGTTATTGTAGCCCACAGTCTCCAGTCATGAACAAAGCCCCATTGTTCCAGCCACTCTCCAAGCACAGAGGAAGTTAACTCTCATTGTGTTAACACTCAAGGTCCTATATTCAGACAGGCATTGCTCTCCTTTATATGTGGAGCTAACACTTTTAGGGTCCTATCCTGTGTTTCAGAGCACAACAGAAACAGGAGCCCACAGTTTTTTCCCAAGACACCATGGGGAAATGCATCAGACCTTTCTACAAATTGTGGAGTTAGGGGAAAGGTGCTAGCAAGCCAAGCCTCCCAGCAGCTGTCTCCGTTACATAGGGAGTGTGTTAGCAGCCAATTATTTATTCTCACCGCTGGCATAGCCCAATCCTCCTTTGGGTCTAACATCCAGTGTTGAAATTACGTGTTGCTAAACCCAAAAGTTACAGTGTGTCTACAAAAGATTCGAGTTATGTTTCAACAATACCCAAGTAAGCAGTGAAAGCAAGCTTTTTTCTCCCCTAAGAGCTTACAAACCTGAACACCAACATCAAAAGAGAATGAAACAAAGATGCAGTAAAGTGTAAGTTAACTCACAAAGAACTCACTGCTCGTCTTCTATTCCAGACCCCTGTTCTGCTGCCTCACCTCCCCCCCTCCATTCACCTGGTTCTTATCTACGTGGCAGCCCCCTGCCCTGTGTCCTGGTAACTAGTTAACCAGACAACAAAGGCTTTATAGGGTCAATCTGTGTCACCATCTATTCCCTGCCCCATCCTCTCCTCTAGGCCCTCTGTAGAGACCTCAGAGGGGACTTTGGGCTGTGCATTTCTCCTGCAGGATGGCCCTGTGGAGATGCTGAAGGCAGCGGTATTGTGGTTCTCCTTGGTGCAGTGAAAGACAAAGATGCTCTCTGGCAGAGTAGAAGATGCAGCTGGGGGAATCCTGGTTTGCAGTTACTTGTCCACTGCTGCTTTCCACTGGATACAGCTCAGGAGAGGTGGAAAATTCGATCTACAGGCAGAGCCTTGTCCTGAGGACCTCTGGGTTTTTGAGGGAGGACTTCTGAGGGTACAGTTTGTTGAGGTACTACAGGAGAGGCATCACTCACGGCAGCAGTGTAGAATTTTTTAAAATTAGAAAAGAATTAAGGGAGAGGTTAATATTCATGAAGCTGGTAATTTTTTCAGGAGTGAGGTGCCTGAATGATAACAGCGACTCGGGGTGAAAAAGAGATGGTGAAGGGTATATTGGAGAGAATAGGAAGTAACTATGTGGAATTACATGTGAGGAAAAGAGAAGTTAAAGGGAAGCATCAAGGATCCTAAAAGGAAGCCAGGCATTCTGATGCTGTGCTGCAGTGGTAGGAAGCACGAATATCTGATTAAATGTCCACTCTGGGAATCCTGATTTTGTTCCTGGCTGTGCCCTTAATTTGTAGAGTGGTATCAGCCATGTGACAGGCACTCCCTTTGCTTTGAATTACCCCTCTGTAAAACAGTTTATTCATCCCAAGCCTGAGGCGCAGTTTTTGGTTCAGGCTCCATCCCAGGGAACTTCAGTAGGAGTTTGCAATGGACACCTGGAGGCAGCGCTTTCACAGCACAAAGAGGTCTACTGCAAATCAGCTTCAGGGGATTCGGGTCACTACAGTTAACCACTCTTTGCCTGGTGCTAGCAGAGCTGGTGTTGGAGACTGGACTGAGAGACTGAGAACCAGGGGTGGGACTTTAAAGCCCTGATTTGGTTCACAGTGTAGGTCCACAGGCAACTGTGTGTGCAGTGCTGAGTCATGCATTGTGATGAAGGGGGCAGGGAAGAGGGCTGAGTAGGGAAGGTGTAAACGTCACAGACTGGCATTACCATCAAAGAGATCAACTGCTGCCTGTATGCCAGGCAATGAAAGAATGGCTGCCAATAGCTTGTTCAGTGTTAAAATAATAGTTTCATTCACAACTGTCGGGGACACTCTCTAAAGATATGATATTGTACCATTTCTGTTAGTGATTTCATTGCACGATTTCTAGCCTCAAGCCTCCTCCATTTCCCTGTGAGTACCTGCTCAGTTCTGTGTATGCTGAAAGGTCTCTTTGTTTCTTTTATAGCCATGCCTCTCCCGCCTCTCAATGTAACTGTAAGCCAAGTCACCAGCAGCAATGCCAGTGTGGTCTGGATACCAGGATTTGATGGCCGTGCACCCCTCCATTCTTGCACTCTTCAGGTATGGCTTCTCTGGATTGTGCCCTGCCCTGTGTGAATAACAGGACTCTACTGAGCCAGGTCATTTCCTGGGCCATCTTTTGCTCTCACAACTTATTTGTAGCAGTGTTTGAATTCTTATTTCACAGTATTAAAACGTAAAAACTTAACAGGGTGCAACCTGGGACGTATATAGGTGCCAAAGAGCAGGTAATGAACTTCATGCTCAAAAGTTAAGAATTAGAGACTGGCCTCATCCTCCCTCACGACAGGTTATCACATCAGTTGCTTCCATAAATCCAATAATCTGTACAGATTATTACACTGCAGCACACATGAAGCACCACAGCACTCTGTGGGAAGTGCCCATGAGTAGCTGTAGCTGCAGTGTGCTCATTCCTCCTGCTAGCATGGAGCAGCTGCCCCATGCTAACTTATTCACATGCAAGTGCCTGTGACTCCCATGACAGCTGAGCCCTGTGCTTTGCAGTGCCAGAGGAAATGCAGGAATCTGGACATACCAGTGAGTCCGCAGGATAGGGAGCTTGCAAAGTATAGGATGTGGTACAGGAAGGGTAGGAATGATCGAGGCAGGAGATAGACTGGGCTTTTTGGTATAAGGTCAGGCCTATTTGCATGTTTCAGAGTAGTATTAAACTCTGCCTCTAAATCTTAATTGGTTTTCCATTGTCAGAGACCAATTCTGCCCAGAAAATCAAGGGTGACAATATCCGTTAGCTCTACTGGTGCAGAGTACTCCACATCTCTTGGACTGCTTCTTAAGGTCCAATAGTACATGTACAACTTCAGGGAGAGTTAGTTTCTACCACTGCACACTTAAAGGTAGAATCAGACCAAAGAGCAGGTAGCCAAATGTCAAAAACAAATGGCGATTCCTGAAGTGGGCTGTGCAAACACAGCTAGGCACAGTCCCCATGGATTTATCTGCCAGCTGGGAATATTAGACCCCTCTGCTTTCCCTGCCTGATTACAGCAGCATTTTGAGCTGGAGTGGAATTTCTGTGGGGTGTTGCCAACTATGTAGAGGAGGATTATAAACTCAAGGTAATGCTGGAAGCAGTCTAGCTAATTTAATTGTAGTCTACTTTTTATTTGGAGAGGAAACCAGAGATTTCATGCTTTGATGTTTATTTTCTTTCATAAGTAAAAGAAACCATCATCTTGATTTAACTCATTGGCAGAAAGAACTCCTGCATATAGCTGGCCGTGGTCTCTGGGTTTTTGTCATGACAGTTTTGTTACTGCTTCTGTTCTTGTTCGATGTCAAAAATGGTTTTCTTCCTCTGTTTTACAATGTCAGTTATCTCCGGTTGGAATAGCCTATTCTCTCTGGCTTGCTTGCTGCAATGCTAATCACCCTGGGGTTTAAGTTCCCCCTCTCACTTTTGGCAGGGGCAGGAGTGGGGGATGGGACATGTGGAAAAACTCTGAAGCAGAGCTGCTCACTTTCTGTCCACTCAGCAGTCTCTCACCCCTTTTCTAAGCCTTTTCTGTTCGGTTTGGGGAGGATGAAGTTCCTGCATTTGAGTCTGGGAGCAGAGTAACTTGGCAATAACCCTCCACTGTCAGAAAACCATGCTTCCTCTGACTCCCACATTGAGAGATTTTGTGTGAGACATTGACCTACATCTCCATGTGAAAATGCACATGTTCCTGGCTTGTCATGATTGCACTTCTGCTTGGAGCCTCCCAAAAGAAGGGGGATTGGAACTTTTCTGTGCTTTTCTGACACTCGGGGTTGCAGCGGGTGTGCCAAGAGCATCACTTTCAGACAGGCAGATTGTTCCTGGGATCAGGGCAGGGAATAGCATTTTTTTGCTGTTAACACAAGCCATGTTCCAGGGTGTGAAAAGGACAGATGCAAGAGGACCAGCTCTTGAAACTGTTGAACAGAAACACATCATCAAACAGACAGGGTTTTACACAGAAGTCAGCTTGTTTTTTTCCTTCTTTGGATGACACTGATAATGACAACAATATGCTTCTCTATTCAGGAATTTTGAGATTCTTCCTTTTTATTAGGCAAATAAATCAGTGTGCCAGAATTGTACATGAGAGTGAGCAAAAGGGTGGTGAGAAGGGGAAAAATGCTGCTGCTTAAAGAATGTAGAGTCCATATGACTATTTCATTTTTGTCAATACACTCTGATTTTACTCCCAGCTTTGCTATTTCATATGCAGTTGAGAAGAAAGTCTGAGCCTGGGAGCAGTGCAGTGATTTCTTCTGTACAAAAGTAGGAACATTGAACCTTTCTGTGCCATAAAAGCACACAGTGATATCAGATTTAAATTAACATTTGTGCTGCTTAAGAGCTCAGATTTGGGGGAAAAAAAAAAGAAGGGTTGCAGGAGTGGCAAAAAGTTTCTTTCCAGTTTAATTTGCAACAGTTTAGTTGAACCAAGCCACTAGTGCCTACCATGTCTCTCTCTAATCCACTATAAAACTGAAAATATACAAAATTCTGAAAAAAAGAGTTCATCAAAAGGTGACAGTAGGCAACAGGAAAGTTGATCTACCAGTTTTCATTACCCACATTTAAACAAGCCTCAGAAGCCAGCCGCTAGCACTCAAAGCAACAAGGATGTTTCATTTTCTTTAAAGGAATAATAATCAACTGTAGAATCTGTAACACAGGTAAGGAAATGCTTTAAAATATGGAATCAAATTTTCAGCTGGTGGAAAATTGTTGTACTGCCAGGGTGAGAGTGATGGCATTTCATGATTCTTAGTTGACAACTCCCTTTTCGGTATTTTAAGCACCACTGGTACTATATGTATTTTTACACATTCCTAAATTGACAATTAAATGGATTCTTATCCGTATGGACCTGTTGGTCGTATTGCTTATGGTAACTGTCATCTCTGTGTCACTCTTGGCACAGGTAGCTGAGTCACCAGATGGTGAGGAGGTCTCCACTGAAATCACCCCAGTGCCACCCTTTGCCTACGGAGTGCAAGGCCTGAAGCATTCTACCAACTACAGCGTTCGTGTGCAGTGCAGCAATGAGATGGGCAGCTCCCCTTTCACTGACAGGGTTTATTTCCAGACCCTGGAGCTTGGTAAGAAATAGCAGAGTAGAACAGGAAAGCAGCTCTGAATCTGAAAAAGAGGTGATGATAATCTTCATTAACTCCTTGCTTATTCTGAAATACAGGAAATGTTATTCTGTCAGGTTGCTTGTCCACTTTAAGGGACTCCTAGAACAAAATAATGTGATTAAGAGCAATGATGCACAATACAGAAATTGATCCAGCCATGAGGCTTCTGCATGCTGATCGCATTAGCTCTCTAAGATTCTTGGGATCTCTGAGAGAAATGAGAGATGCCGACCAACCTATCTTCTCCACTTGAAGCAAACAAAATGCTAGTGGCTTGCAGTTGTTGTTCTCTCTCCTCACACCCTCTCTCTTCTGGCTGATCTCAAGACAGAGGGTGAAACTGTCATTTTCAGGGTGGATAGTGCATTATTTTCCTGCATAGAGTGATTGTGTTTTGTCCTCTGCTTTCAGCTCCAAGCAGCACCCCTCAAAATATCCACGTTATTCAAAGAGATCCCGGTCTGATTTTGGAGTGGGAAGGTGTGGCTCCAGATGTGCTGAAAGAAAATGTCCTAGGATACAGACTGGAATGGATTCAGGATAATGTAACTCAGGTAACAGATCAAGAAGGTAGCTGGACACGGTTGGAAAATGTTCATATTAAATTTTATAGGCGTTAGGGTTCCTCATTCGTACCGAGGGACAAGATTGCTGGCATTGCTTTTGTATAAATGGATCTATTCTGATTTGAGAGAACTCCTCAGTATTTAGCCTCAAGATTTAGGGCCATTTCTTCCTTCCTGGCATACTCAGAATTCCTTCTCTTAAATGTTCATCTGCAGACAGACCAGTTCTCCGTCATTCCTTGTACAGGAAGGATGACAGAGAGAGAATCCACTTTGCCCTTTTCTAATACTGTCCCAAAGGCAGCTGAGACAGGGCAGGATCTCGGCTTTCTCTCTCCTGTGACTGGGCCGTGGCCTTCCGAGTCATAGCAGCAAAGATGTACTTAACAAGTGAATGAGCTATACTGTAAATCACAGAAAGAAGGTTATGGATTCTTTTGTTTAATTTACAAAACATAGGGAGTTGAAAGGACCCTGGCAGGGTAGAAGGCCTTTCATTTGTTCTTTGGCATTGAGCTTTCCCAGGTATCTATCAGCCTTTGAAGTTCACAGCATTTTTTATGGTTTCTAACTTCCCAATAGGTATTTACCCAGTGCTTATTAATGACGAACAAGCCTGTAATAGTAGACAGCTAGAGGGAAAAGAGACTTATTTCCTTTTTTGCATGACCCACTTCATACTAGGGCAGCGTCATTGAGTGACAGTATTTTGAGTTCCCATTGAATTTACATTGTGTCAGTGGTGGCAACCAAATCTTCATGGGTTTACTGCAGACAGTGTGTATGAAGAGGATCCACAAAACTACTGAAAATATGTTGGCCTTGCAATACTAAGTGAAAATTGGCCATGAAATTCAGAAGCCATTTGGGATTTGGTCAACAGGTTAGAACAGACAGACTTGTCTCTTAGATTAAAACTGTCAGATGCTTTACAGTATGTTAGCACATCTTTGTGTTTAAAGCACAAGAAGGAGGTATATCTTTTAACAGCAGAAAAAACCACATTTCTGTAGCAAGTTGCATGGAAGGGCCTCAAAGGAAGAAATCATTAAACCTCATACCTTCCTTATGCCGTGGGAAACAATTAGATATTTTTGGGGAGAGAATCCCAAGATGATAGCCCAAATTAGTGGCCAAACTGAGGTGAGGACCCAGGAGTCACAACTTCTAACCCTTCTTATAGCACCAAAGAAGTACACAGTGATGTTTTGGTTTAGTTTTAAAGGTGAAGTTTTACACTGGATTCCTTTTAAGACAGTTTACAGTTTGTTGTCATTTGCACTCAGGGGGAGATGATTGTACAGGATACAAAAGCTAATCTCACAACGTGGAATCCTCTCAAAGACCTGATTATCAGGGTGTGTGTGCTGAACTCTGCAGGATGTGGGCCCTGGAGTGACCTCTTCCTTCTTGAAGCCCAAGAGGTCATGGGTGAGTGTTCACTACCTTTCCTTCACTTTGAAGAAAAAGTCGAAAGTGCTGAGTCTGCTGTTTTCTCTTACCCTTTTTCTTTCAGTGCTTACCACTGACTGACACACGTGGCTTTATACAACAGCACACTTCATCAAGCAGATTAGAAATTCAATAATTTTTAAAGAGCTGGTGTAAACAAAACAGCTTCTGGCCACTACTGTGTCTTCTTTAACAGGGTTTTGCTGTGCTTAATGCAGAGCAGGAGAAGGGCAGATACAACAGAAAAGGTGCAAATGAAGGTTTGAAATCCTTAATTTAGGCTTAAGCCACGCAAGAGTAAATGTGACAGAAAACTCCTCTAACATAGGTTCTCCTCTTTGATTTGATTTGAAGCCATTCCTGACTAGTTTCAGTGGAGCCTGATTCAAATCATGGCCACATGGGGGTTTGTAATGGTTTTACTGAATATGTTTATATTAAACCAGTTTAGCTGTTTCCATGGATTAGCTGAGCTACTGGTAGAATAGGAAGATGATGGTACAGACACTGTATCATGCTATCTGAACTATGTGGAAGGATTTGTTGGGAACAAAGAACATGCATGTGTGGAGTGCATTCCCAATGATGAAGGGCAGTTGGGCTCACCTGTGGTGATTTGCTTGCTGCTTGTATTTCACAGTGAATGGGCAATGGGAGTTGGGTTGTGAAGAGGGGCAGGATGTTTTACGGGGAAATGGATAGAAGGGGAAGAATGCTATTGCTTAGAAGGAAACTGTAAAACAACAAAGAGGAAGATGTTCCAAATAAAGATATAGATTGGTGATAAGAAGTCTGTGAGGTGAGATCATACAAAAGTCCCAGTCTCTTGTGGCCCACATCTCTGATGATGGTCCACCTATTGCTGCTTTCTTCCCACTCCACAAATCTTTGAGGAACCACACGGACATTGATCTCTCCTGATCCCTCCATACTCATGGATGGCAGAGGGACTTAGAGTGGGGTTCCCAGGCAAGAAGGAGGTGGGGGATAGAGGCAGAGTAACTAATAGAGAATTGTAGCCTTACTTGCAGTAGCGCATCTAATGATGGTTTTAACGTGCACGTTACTCAGGTCCTTTGTCAGCTCAGTTCCCGTGATGAAGTCAGCACTGATGGTTATGTGTGAGCACATAGTCACTTTGGGATCAAAGCCCTCAAATTATTTAAAGCAGAATGAAGGGGTGTGGAGGTCCAGAGCTGACCCTATGGAGGTTGGTCACTGACTCCATCAGTTTTTTTCCTCCTGCTTTGTGATCAGGTTTTTTCTGTGGCACCCAAACAGAGAGTAAAGTATCTGAAAGGACTAGGAGTTCTCTTTGGAAAATGGCCATCACTGGCAAGAAGCCCCAGGGAATGTATAAGGTTTGCATTTTACAGGGAGCTGGAGTGGGACAATCCTGAAAGCACTATATATTGTTGTTTGGTTGTTTTTATTTACAAACCACTTCAAAAAATGGTAGCATCAGGAGTGGTGCTTGTTTTGGTCAAATGCGTTCTGAAAGCATGTGTATTTCTTCACAAGCATAACAGGCTGGAAGTAAAGGTTCACTGTGGAAACACTGACAGGCCTTAAACAGCAGAGCTGCAGAAAGACTGCAGTTTTGTTTCAGGCCTGGTAGAAAATATAAGTTGCTTCCTTTCCTAAAATAGAAAACTGGCACTGCTTCCTTTCTGTGAGAAATGCCAGGGGTGGTTTCTGACCAGCTCCCAGTGCGGCAATAAGGATGACTAAGCTTGTATAAACTTTAAGTTGAATTTGTCATCACAGCAAAGCTAGTGGGAGCTCCACCCTGCTTATGCAGAGATCTTGTGTGCTATTAACAAAGATTGTTTTAATATTTTCAGAAACATTCTCAATAGAAACTTCTCTCTTTCATTGCAGAGCGAGGAACAGAATGGTCTAGTAGCTTTTCCCTATCTGTAATCTTCACAACTGTAGGCAGGAAAAGACTCTTGGATTATGTTCTTTGCACACCTTTGAGATATAAACTTGCTATGAAATCATCATCAAAGGGCTCCTAAGTACTCTTTTAAACTCATCTAATAATACCATCTTCTCTCTGCCTTGTGCAGTCTTAAGGCATATGCTGGTTAAAAAAGGGGGATATAGGAGATTGGAGAGAGACAGAGTTGAGAGAAGAGAAGCAGCTCGGTCTTTACTTGGGCTGCAGCCATTCTCTTGAGCTCAGTGACGTGAGTGGGAAGCAATGATTTGTGGGCTGGAGGAGGAGACGCAGTGAATTTCAGCATTCATTCCTATTTCTGACACATTTGCTATAAAATGTGGGATGGGCTCCTGATGCCCAGCAGTTTAGAAACAGGGAAAATAATTTTGTTTTGTTTTGTTTTGTTTCATCCACACTCCTTTCGGAGGGACTCCCTGGAAGTTGACCTAAATCCCCTCTCTCTCACCAGGCCAGCTAACAGAGACTAGAAAAATAAGCCGAGAGAGATTTGTCTCACCACAGGGAGAAGGAAACCTTATTGTTAACTATCAGAGAGGACCTTTCACATGAGTGTTGTTAGTTGTTTCTACCCTGATTGTTTGGCAGACACAGCCCAAGTGATTGGCTTGGGAATTGTGGGGAGGGTTTGAGTTACCTTTATTGTATTTGAGAAATACAGCTTCTGTTTCTGATCTCTCCCTCCTCATAAGCAGCCTTGAAGGGCTGGGTCAAAAGTTGCAGCAAGAGGTAGTATCATAAAACCCAAAGCCTGTAAAGCCTTCTAGGTGGGAAAAGTATATGTGAGTCACTGAAGGAGGTAAGATGCTGGAAAATAAGTACTAAAGATCTGATAATTTGCTTCAAGTGGAGAAGTACTAGTCTGCTTTCTCAATGTTTCATTAAGCTCTACCTGTGTTTAGACTAATATTACTTCTTTAAAAATTTGGATAAGGTTCATCAATGTAACTGGTAATCAAGCCTTAGAAGCCTCTTGCCTGCCAGGACTCTGCCAGTAAGGGTGTCCGACTCCTTTTTGTATACATCTGAGCAGAGATTCATCCAAATCCCATCAACCTAACATCTCTTTTAGGGATAGGTTTGCTTATACTGTCATGACTTATAATAGGATTACTTATATCATCAAAGATGATTCTTCCCTACCTTCTGCTAAAGCACAGTCAACTGCTGATGGTGAGCAAGTGAGCTTGAAGATGAAGGAGGTGGTCAGGGACCTGTTACCTTTTCTTGTTTGCTCTTAAATAATTTGGAGATATGAGAGCTATCCTAGATTTTAATAAACCCATTCAAATTCACATTTAAGCTTTAGTAATTGTATTTGGAGAAGAAATCTCTCAGGGAATTGGATTAATTTATCATTTTTTGCCAGGCATAGATCATATTCTTTTTATTCATAATTATATTGCTTACCTTCCTTGCCTGGAGCTTACTCAGATTGACAGCATCTCCATTTCTTCTGTAGACAGTTTGTAGTCAAAAGTATACATATTCTGGGAGCAAATATTAGTTCAGAATTGGAACCTGTAGGCTCACTAACTTATTTCTTGACTCACAGGGCACTTTTTAAAGTTCACCTTTTCTTTGGAGAGAGACATGGACAAGTTGCAACCAACCAAACAACATTGTGAAGTTATAGCTAATACCAAATCCCTCAGGGTGCTTGTCTTTGTGGGAGGAGTTATAGGAGAAGTGTAAACATTTCTACTGAGATTGCCGTGAGGCAATTGTCTTTCACTGTTGTCTTTCAAAATGTTATCTGGTTGACATTCAGGGAGTACTGTGTAGCCTGGTCAAGGTTCTGCTGACTGCCTCCAGCAGGACAAGGTGAAACCTGCTCAGAGAATGCTCATATTAAGCAACCTTTTCGTCCTGAAACTCCAGTTTAAAGCGCAGCAGATCATGAGCTTATGTAAAGTATTATAATCTGGTGCAGAGCCTTTTATTTTCTCAAGGCTAAAGACTAAGAATAGTTTCTTATAACTAGATGCATTTGCTCTGCCTTTGCTGTGTGAAACAGCTAGTTTTCATGATGATTGACTGAGCAGCTGTTTATGCCAAATTCCAGTATACAAGGATCCACTGTGAACACCAGGTCCAGCAGCATGGCTTTTCCATTTAAAAGCAAAAAGAAGAAATTGGTGTGTTTATCATTGACAGTCTTCTATTTTCTGACTGGTGGTTTCTCTATCATCTAGGTGGCCAGAGACAACCTCCTTATGGGACATCCTGGGTTCCTGTGGCATTAGGCATTCTCACAGCTCTGGTCACGGCTGTTGCCCTGGCTCTTATTCTTCTTCGAAAAAGAAGAAAGGAAACTCGGTTTGGGTAAGGGAAGCTCTCCTTGTGCTGGTTAGAGAGATCTCTGCTTTCTCTTCTAGTGTGGTTTCTGACTCAATTATTTTTCAAAAAGCGTTGTTGATGGAGTACTTTTGACACTTTCTTTGGATAACTGTATTGGTTGGGGTTTTTGGGGGGTTTTTTTGGCTGTTGTTGTTTTTTTTTCAACAATTTTGGGAATGCCTACCTTTTCTTCAAAATAAGAACATCAAAAATACAGTAGAAAAAATGTTATGTTAATAGCTAGGCTTTATTAGACTATAGAAATGTAAACTAGATCGAGATAATTCTTAGCACTGCTACTTAAGAGATTCAAAGAGAAAAGACTCACTAATGAAACATTCTTATGGGCTGAGCTCTTTATCCCATGCTGATTTTCAGTCTAGCAGCTGATTGTAACTTCCTGACTGCCCAGAACCCTGTGGATCCCCAGTAAAGTTTCCTTTCCATCGCCTCTGACAGTTGGCTGCTTGGCTGTGGATTGCTCCCAGCTGCAAGCAAGGTTCCCATTCTTTTCAGTCTCTCAGACCTCCCTCTCACAGCAGCATCTCTGTTTACATGACTCTTGCAACCTGCCCCAACCTGCAGCTTCTCCCAGCACTGGGGAGGAGTGATTCCCTTGTTTTGGAAGGCCCTCACCCCCTCTAGGTGCATTAGCAAGGCAGCATAAACCCATTGTTCCTCTTCTCCAGCTACACCCTCTTTAACAAAACAGTCTGCAGTATTTATATGTCAAGTGAATGGCTCATGTAATCATGGTCCTGTGTGTCTTTTCTGCCTTCTAGCCATGCCTTTGGAAGTGTGGTTGGCAGAGGGGATCCAGCAGTCCATTTCAGAGCTGCCAGGTCTTTCAACAGGGAGGGCCCAGAGCTCATTGAAGCAACACGTAAGTAAAATGACCCGAGTGATTCTACCTGGGAAGATGTGTTCATGCATGTACTGTACTCTCTCTGTTTTTACTGAAACGGATGTTTTTTGATCAAAAACATGGGATTAATTTACAAAGAGGCTTAGACCTTGTGAATTGCAGAGATGAAAGGCCAGAATTGCTGTTGCCATACCAGTTACTTAGCACTTGCTAATTACAGCTACAGTCATTGTGTATATTAGTGCAAGGCATGAATTGCCGCTCCTCTGCCCCAGTTTCACATTACAGGGACTACTTCGACTGGAATATTATACAGTGGTGAGATAAATACAGCTCAAGAATATTAGCAGTATGCTTTAAACTCAGTATGCTGAGCTATGCTACAAGCATGAACCAATTAATCAGTCTTGGAAAGCCAGGAATTAGTAACTTATCAAACAGGAACCTGAGTAACAGGAATGGCCAGAGTTAAGATGATCCATTTCTGCCTCCTGGTTCATCAAGGGCATGGTCCTCTGTAGCAGCGCTGCATAGCTGGGTTAGGATGAGTCTTTAACTTTGCTCCCCTGGATTTAAAGGTCTCTCCATTAAATCTAGTGACCATAAATTTTTTGACATTACGTTACCTTCTCAACCAGGTGCTGTGAGACTTACATTGTACTTGAAATAGTCTGAGAGCCAGTCATTGAAAAGTGGTGCAGCTCCATCAACTTAAATTAAGCTGTATGAACCAGTGTCTGTCAATGGCCCTTCTGATTGGATTTTATCTTCTCAGTGTTATTTACAGTAGTTCTATATTCCTGTTGCTCGTGGTGTGTTTGAGGGTGGTGTTATCACACCCTCTTCCTTTAAGTAATGTTGGTACATTTTCTTGTGATTGAAAGTTACTGGCCTCTTGTCTGTGGTGAGGCTAGAGGACATGTTAGGGAACTGGTTTTTTCAGGTTTCCTCCTTACAGTATGGGAATCAGATGGAGATTAGAACAGGTGATACTTGATGTTGTGACAGAATATATAGGTATCCTTATTAATTCTTCATTTTTATGTTTTGGTTTCTTTTCCAGTGGAGAGTGTAGGGATAAGTGATGAGCTGAAGACAAAACTCAAAGATGTCTTAATCCAGGAACAGCAGTTCACCTTGGGAAGAATGTTGGGCAAGGGTAAGAACCAAAACCGAACAAGGCTTTACATTGAAAATCCCGCTTGTGTTACCTTTACTGTTGAGTAAGGAGAAGCAATCGTAAGCAGCCTGTTTTCTCTCCTCCTTGTGGCAATTTTCTCTCCTCCTTAAATGGCAATTAAAATGGAGCTATCCTTTCCACTGGGATAAAACATTTCAGAGGTTTAGCGTAACTAAGAGGATATTGGCTAAGCCATTCCTATAATATGGCTCGACACAGTCATGAACTGCAGTCTGTGCTCAGCTTTCCGAAGTACTGTTGATTCACTGGTGTGTGACTTTCTTTCAGAGGTTTAAACAAAGGAATGTTCAGTTAAACTCCTGCTCCTTCTAATAACAAAATGGTGCTATAGAATTCCTTCCATTTACATAAGCATGAAGTATTAAATGGGCTGAGACAATACAGAGACAGAGATGATACACCTCAGACATTCCAACCGCTCAAAAAAAGTTGATTCAGTTTCAGGTATTCTCAGTGTCTGGGGTGGTTTGCCTCCAGATTTTAATTTGGCCTCTTAGGGAGGCACATTTGGAACAGGTACTGAATTTTGCTGACATTTGTCCTCATTAGTTCAAGTCCTTAGGAGTGCTTCTGACTGTGAATCTCCCGCTGGATCTTGTACACAGGTGCTGCTAATACTTCTCGGAGGTCTTCAGATGAGGAGGGATTGTCAGAGCAAAAGTGGGATGCTTCTCACTTAACTTACCTGAGAGATTGGCCCAGAAACTCTATGTGGAAAGATGGGTTTGAATTTAGATTTCCCAAATGGCAGACCAGTGTGCTAACTGTTGAATCATCCTTCCTTACTTCTCAGTCTGAAGGCAGTCTTTAGAAATAAATGAAAACGTGTAAGGATAAAGCCAATAACTATGAGAGGAGCATGTCAGGGTCATAAGCAAAAGGAAGCTGAAGTGTTTTGCTTCCTTTTTCTTTATAAGACTAATTTTATTGCAGTTTTCTTTGACCCTTTCCCACTGGGAGCATTCTTCTACTCCATCCCTCTTAGAACAAATGCGTTTCTTTTAGAGCAGGAAGATGACCTTCCTGCAGAAGCATTCTCAGAGGGTTTAACAAAGCTAAGTAATAAAACAGCTGTGTCATCTCTTTGTGAGTATCAGCTGTTGGCCAGTTTCTGGGATCCTGCTTCAACCCTTCTGGGCTGTCTCTATGGCAGGTAACAAACTGAAATCAGCTGCAGTGGGTCCCCAGGGCATGATCTTGCTGGGAGAATACCAGCTGGTAGGATCTGATCTGTGTTGTCAGTCCCACTGCTGCAACCCCACATTCAGCACACAGGTTGTAAGATGGCATGTCTGCATTACCGTGGGCTCTGCTGACTCTACAGCTGAGCAACAGCTCCATAGTATGGAAGCAGCACGAAATGCCTTTGCTCCTTCCCATTTTCCTCTTTTGTGGTCAGATCCACTCCTTGTGGTTATCATGTAGTAAGCATGTACCGTACGGTAGTGAAGGACGCTGGTGAAAAGCTAGTGGAAAGATATTGTTTCTGGGGTGGGTGTCCTGAGTGCCATATTTTGCTTCCTTCTTTTCAGTACCAAAGTTCCTCATACTAATGCATTTTGGGTGGAGTAGGCAGTTACAAAATTAGGGAGAGCAAATCTATAGCCAGATCTAATGCAAAGAGGCTGTTAGGCTGTGGTATAAAACCACTTCAGGCCAAAATAATTTGAAGAGGTTTTGGCCTGTTGCATTTCCTCTTATCTCCCTTAGAGAATAAACCAGAGTAGACACTACCTCCTGTGAATCAGCATATCACTCACACACAAGTAGGTACTCTGTGTTTTCTCTGGACTGTGATTCATAGAAGTCATTCCCTGAGTTTTGAGAGATAAGGCTGACTATATTTCAAATCGTTTAGTCTGGCACCATCACTCAGCTCTGATGGCTGTTAATACTGAGAGCCTCCGCCAACCCATCCACTTGCTGCTCAGCTAACAGCCTCCTCTCTGACCAGAACCTTGCTCACTCATCCCTCATGATATGGCTTCCCCAGAAATGTCTGCCTACAATCCCAGCTTAAACTTTGTCTCTGCATCGTCTGGCTGGCTGGATATTGCTTTTTTCCCCTGTTGTTTTCCTTTGCCTTCTGGACTGCCAGCACAGTGATCTCTGTCTACTGGTAGTGCTACCTCTTCTAGGCACACATATGCTGAAAGTTGGTGTCTGAAACTGCAGAATGAAAAATGAAGCATTGCTTATGGTTATTCAGCTTCTTTCCCAGTGACCCCTGAAGAGAACCTTTCTTCACAATAAGCTATTCCCTCACTGCCTTCTCTGGTCATTTCACAGGGGAGTTTGGGTCAGTTCGAGAGGCACTACTGAAGCTAGATGATGGCTCTTTCCAGAAAGTTGCAGTGAAGATGCTGAAAGGTAAGTGGGAGCAGGGCTACCTGAATTACTTAAGAAAAGAAAGCTTGGAAGGATTAAATGTTGTCTGTCCTGCTCTCAGCAAACATGCCTTGATGCTCTTTACTCCTCTCTGAGCTTCCAACTCAGCCATTCTACCCATCCCTTTCATGTCAGTCTTTTTGTAGTGGAAGCTTTTCAGGGAAAGACCTATACCACCCTAGTTGCTTCTACAGCATCTAGCACGTGGTGAGTGCAATCAAAACCACTGTATCATGTGGCACAGACAGCTCAAACAGGTCTGCTTTGCCCTAATAATTCAGCAGTGAAAGACAGTACTCCTCCAAGCCCATATCCTGGAATAAACAGAAGAGTGTTTGGGCTGAATGCAGTGACAAGCTAACTCAGTCAGGCACATTTAACTAAGTAGTCTCACTCCCTTCTGATTTGTCATTTGATGAGTATACATAACAAGGGCAACTAACACATTCATCAGACACAAGTCTGTAACAAGAAAAGCAATTAAGAGATAGGTATAAATCAAAGCAAGTACGTACATATATGTGTGTTTATATAGGTTAACCGATGTTATTTCATCCCTGTTGCCTGTAAGGCAAAAATTAACTGAGACCGACTGAAAGCAGAGTCACACTCACTTCTGGAGCTCAGTTTGCTGTCACAGAATGCCAGCTTGTACTAAATATACTAGTATCACACTAGTGTAAGTTGTATCAACTTAATCCAGCTTCAGCAATAATTCTAATCAAACTTTTGTGTAGTCAGACTGTCTACCTTCAGGCATCTAATTTAGGAACAATCTGTCAGCCTCCAGAGGCACCTTCCTTTCTCCATTGACTGTAAAAAGGGAATATGCTTTTGTCTTCTGAATCATATTGAAATTACTTGCCTAAAGCAGATAATATGAATACTCCCCTACAGGTCTGAGTCTGATCTTGCAGCAGGACTGGAGGACTCCTGCTAAAATGCAGCAACAGAATTGGAGGAAGTAGTTGACTGGGCTAATTCTTCATTATATTGATCTGTTTCCATAAATCTGGAGTAATAGCAATGAGAAATAATTTACTCCAAATTTATGCTGATGTATGTCACTGCTGAATTTGGTCCATGCTCTCCAGTAGTGTGGTTATTTAAGAAATCTTACCTCCACCACCTTAGAAGACTCAATTATGCTCAGAGATAGAGAACCACCGATCTTTCATGCCATCCTTATCAGAGATGAATTGGGGTCTGCTGTGTCAGCCAGGGACTCCAGGCCATCTCCTCAGTTTCAACATTTTCTTTCATTTGTGTGATGTCTCCTCTCCGTGACATTGTAGTTTAGGTTCTTTTACCTAATTTATTCTTACATCTTTAACCCCCACATGCTTTGCACAGCTTCCAAGGAAAGTTCTTACTGAGAAAAGAGCTGCTAATCAGCAGGTCTTTACTCTACCAATAACCAATTTACCAGATGACCCTGATGCATGCTTACTGCTGCCCATCCCAGGCGAGAGCGTCAGGCTCTGCTTTGTTGTAAAATGGCTTATCTAGCTATAGGTCTGAGAGGATGTGCTGTGCCACAAAGAACAAGCTTCTGATAATCATTATTTGTAAAGTCCCTTGGAGCCACCCTCAAAGGAGGAAAACTTACAGTCACTTTTTCCAGCGGACATCTTCACATCGACTGACATTGAGGAGTTCCTGCGAGAGGCTGCGTGTATGAAGGAATTTGACCACCCACACGTCACTAAACTGATTGGTAAGCCAGCACTGCTGCTTATGCCACAGAGCACCTCCTGTTCCTGCACAATCCCACACGATCTCACTCTGCACTGCTGTCCAACAGCAGTGCTAGTGCAGCCACCTCTGTGCTGCCTGGAGTCCTGCATAGATCAGCACTGCTCCTTCACCGGGCCCAGTGTGTGTAAGTGCTCTCAACGCTTGCCCTCATACACCAGTAATAAGCATCTCTTATTTAAGCCATTTCTTTGGTTCTTGCGAACTACATCAGGGAGACTTTGGATGGCCGAGATATGTCTACACTGCCATGAAATGTGGACAGATGCGTTGGTACACTATAAATAGAGGCAGGGAAGATTGTGCCTTTCCGAAGTACCAAGTAAGAAGTACGACATCTGTGGGTCGGCACTGTGGAACACAGGCAATTTCCAGAATGTGTAGATTGTACTGCAAAGCCTGGGGTTTGGGGCTGTCTGGTCTGGAGTGATCCTAGAAACATTTATAGCAGGTCCTGCAAGAAGATCTGAGAGGCACTTAGTACTGCCTCTGAAACAAACAGGCTTAGAGGTATCTTAACACCTCCTGGCATGAAGTCATGGAAAGGGGCCTTGAGCATGGAATCTACCTGCCAAAACTGCACGTTTTCCTCCAGATTTCTAAGAGGAAGGCAAGCAACCTTTAAGATTCCACTTGGGCGTGATCTGTTTGCTAACACCCCTTTGCTGTGTGTGTCCTCATCAGGAGTCAGTCTACGGAGCCGTCCCAAAGGCCGTCTCCCAATTCCCATGGTGATCCTGCCCTTCATGAAGCATGGAGACCTCCATGCTTTCCTGCTGATGTCACGGATTGGGGAAAACCCTTTTGTAAGTCTGTCTTACAGTAGAATTCCTTCTGGAAGGGTATGGATTTTCAGAGAATGTACTCGGAGCAGTTCAGGGTTGGCCTCCCAAAGACACTGACAGATGACTGGATTTTAATACCAGAGAAGGTTGTGAGATGTGATGTTGAAGTACTTAATTCCATGCATGTTGAGGACCAGCTCCTCCATTCCATCCCCCTCCCTATATCCCCCATCTCTGCTCCTTAAGCTAGCAGCAAATGTTGCAGTTTTGCCATATGTGTTCAAAGCTTACAGGAAAAGAACTTAAACTTTGTTATTTCTTACAGAACTTGCCTGTTCAGACGCTCCTCAAGTTCATGATTGACATTGCCAGTGGGATGGAGTACTTGAGCTCAAAAAATTTCATACACAGGGATCTCGCAGCTCGGAACTGCATGTAAGTGACCCATGAGTTTTTAGAGAAAAAAAAAGACCAGAGTGGGTGAGGGAGGGAAGAGAAAACTTTTACGTCACAGAAGTGGGGATGGATTCTGTCTGAGATCCTTGCATTTGAGTGACAGTAGACATAGGGGAGCCATGACCGTGGTAGTGGAGTGTGTGGTGGTGGTGCTGGGGACAGGGAGCAACTCCTGAAGTCCCACTGAGCTTTCAAATAAACCTTTTTTATAAGGAACTTTTCCATCATTGGTCTGCACATATAGTTTCATAGAGTTGATTACAATATGTGTTTGTAATTAGAAGCTACTCTAGTGGCTGCGTGTCAGCATAGGCTCTTTGTTCCACAATATAATGTAACCAACAGGAGAGACTGGGTTTGGCTGTGTTAGGAGAAAAAAACTTTCATTGTAGCCTGAAGTCTGTATTTCTGGTATCTATTTTGAGGACTTGATTATCACAATATAAGAACTGTAGTTTCCTTGAAAGCTGGTGGAGAATGCCTTTAAAATGGTGAACACACCGTGTGATCTCACTTCACTGTTCCTGACCCCAAAATAACTTGACTGCTTTGAAGGGTAGAAAAGTCCTTTTTCTTCTTTCCACTCTACTTCTTCCCTAAGAATGGAGTAAGGAACAAGCCATTCTGACAGGCAGAACTCTGCCTCTGAACAAAACCACAACAACTGATAAAATCCGCAATGAGACACAGATTTCCAAAGGCATTTGAATGTCCAGATATACAGATAAGAGCCTAATAGTCATAATTGACATTTACAAGAAAACCCATACTGATTTCCTATTTTTGCAGACTTCCTCCAGAGGAAGCTGAATGCATGTTTCAGCACATCATCTGGGGAAAGCAGTGAGTCCTTTATGAGGCCTGGGAACATGAAGTCTTTGTGGGCTTCACTTCCATTGCCTACCAATGTGTCTAGGTTTAAGTGGGTGAGGGGCAATTCAGACCATTCACCAGGCCTTGGTGGTAGCACTGAGCACTGCAGATGTCCTGTGATAATCTTGGAAACTACAGAAAGTATCTAGGTTTGTTTTGTGTAACAGAGTAGACCGTCTGAGCATGGCTATTTCCTTACTTCATTAGTCCTAATTATTTCCCTGTTAGTCTGAAGGAACTGATTTGAGACCACTAAACTGTTTCACATTGATCATCAAGTAGATGAAATCATTATCCTCTTTGGTAATACTTGGTCAACTATATACCTCAGTTCCTTGAACACTGTTTTTTTGGTGTTTTTTGTTTTTTTTTTTCTTTTTTTCTTGCCTGACATAGCCAAAAAATGCTTTCCTTTCCTCAATCATGAAAACTTTCCCATAGGTTGGATGAGAACATGAATGTGAGTGTCGCAGACTTTGGACTTTCTAAGAAAATCTACAGTGGAGACTACTACCGTCAGGGCTGTGCCTCCAAGCTGCCAGTGAAGTGGCTTGCTCTGGAAAGTCTGGCAGATAATCTGTACACAACGCACAGCGATGTGGTGAGTTTTGCTCTGGTGCATTTGGGGACCATTTGTATTCCTACTGAAGTAGAGGAATCTTTCTGTATCCAGTCAATGTGGGAAAAGGCCCTGGTGATGGGAAAGGGAGTTTGCCTTGGGTTTGAGGGATGGTGCTACCTCTGCCTTCAGTGTTGTCAGAACTCAAGACTAAAAATATGTGAGAGTGGCTTATGGCAGAAGAAATCAACCCTTTTCCTCTTCTTGTCCTTTTGTCCTTTATTTGTCAGTTCTTATCCCCATCGTCTTCTTCACCTTTCCCCTGCTCCTCTTCCTTTTCCTCTTTCTTTATGCAGTTTCTTCTTTCTTATTCTTTTTGCTTTCTCTTCTCCATGACAGTTTGAAGGTGACATTTGAAGTGCATGTAACCCACACACTTATGTGTAAATGCAGCAAAGGTTCTCTGTGCTACAGGAGGCATTGGTGGAACTTCATAGATCTGAATAGAATACATCAGTGCTTAGACACTCCCAATAACTTTGCCCCTGGGGAGCAAGGCTAAACCCATTCATCTGAAATTGTTGCATATTTTCCCTTTGGTTTTTTTGGTTGTTCCTTTCTTTTTTTTTTTTCCTGATACTGTCTCCTCTCTTCCTCGCTGCCTTTTGTCTGTTTTCACGCTAGTTTTGTCCTTCAGTCCTGTGGACTTTCCAGTTATCCGTGTCACAATGTAACTGGAGAGTGCCTTGTATTGTGGCTGCTTTGTTGCTCAGTGATTGCTGTAACAGCTGTGGACAGTGTTTAGCGATTGGCGATCACTAGCTCAGCCAGTTTACAGTAGATACTGGACAGGGGTTTGCTTATGAAAATAATAATCTTTAGCACCTAACAGACCTTGCAGTTGAAACGTACAAGTACGAATGTTGCAGTGCAGAGCAGCAATGAAGGTGAGCCATGCGTGGTTTGTTCCTTGCTCTGTTTATTGGCTAAACTCTGCTTTCACTTGCGTGGTTTGTTCCTTGCTCTGTTTATTGGCTAAACTCTGCTTTCACTTGTGCCTGTACATTACTAGAAGCTCAGAATCTGGTTCAGTGAATTAAGAAACTGATTCGCGAGCCCCAAACCAAAATCTTCTTATAGCACAAAACCAATACTGCATACCTTAAAGAACCATGAGTAGGAGATGCTTGCGAGAGGTCTGCAGGTGGAAGACAGCAGCAGCTCCCAAATCTTCCCCTGCTCCACTGCAGAATGGGACCAGATAGGGCCTTCAGCCATCTCCTAAGATGGTATGTCAGCATCAGCTGCATCTGATGGGTCATTTTTGTTGTCTAGCTAGAGTTTTGATAGTCCTTGCACCACTGCTGTTCACATGACATTACCCCAGACTGGGAGGGTCAGCACAGTCTGAGCATACTGAAACCTCACCCCAGCGAGCAGGGAACTGTCTGTACACTTGTTCTCTGTGCTGTTCTCTTTCAGTGGGCATTCGGGGTGACCATGTGGGAGATTGTGACCAGAGGGCAAACCCCTTATGCTGGCATTGAGAATGCAGAAATCTACAACTACCTCATCAGTGGGAACAGGCTGAAACAGCCGCCGGAGTGCCTGGAAGATGTGTGAGTACTTCCTCACCCTGGTGACTTGATTTCTTGAGAAGTTTGGCTCGCTAGGAAACAGAGGCAGCTAGCTGGAATGCTGATCTGAATCCATCCACTTTCTAGTACACAGAGGCATTCACTAGAAAGTCTCTGGGTTAGCTACCAGATATTCTCTGCTGGCAGAGCTCCCAGGATCCTGTGGTAACTACACAAGCAGCTAACTTGGCTCAAGGGTTTGAACGGTGTCAACATTAGCAGCTCTTGGCTTTGTGGGAAGTATATAACTTATGTAGAAACTACTCCCTGCCTTCTCAGGCCAACATCTGAGCAACGGGATGAGTTTCATGGCACACCCTGAAGGCTGAACAGAAGACAGTCTAGCAAGACTATGAGGAAACTGGGTTGCAGAGGCAGGGGCCTGCATGCGTCTTTCAAAGCTTGGCTCAGTCTTCAAAACTGGATCTACTACTCTCAGAAATAGCAGGTTGAAAGAGAAGGGAGCAGACAGGTGAATCTAAAGTTCTGTAGGTCAGTGTCCCACTGTAAATTACAGGTGGAAACAAAACCAGGCCAATCTTGCAGATACTGGTTTCAGACATTTACAGGCTTACAGAAAGGACTCAGATAGTCCTCAGGGCATCAGGCAGCCACATGCTGCAGCGTGTGCTCCTGCCTTAGTCCTGCAACCAAAGCACCATTCTTGGGTAGCAGGTTATGTGAAGTGTTTGCTCAGGAACCCTTGCTCCATGGGTGGTGGCTGGAGCTTCCTGGACTCCACGTGTGGGGCTGAGATCCCTCAGGGAGTGTTACCATAACTTATCCCAGGGTAAAAGCTTGCCTTGTCTGGACAACGTGAAATCATTTCACTGAGGGCCCAAGGAAGTCTGTTTTCTCTGTGTTGTGCCCAAAGCAAGACATAACTGTGAGCACTGACTTTAGTGGTCCTTTCAGGCAATTCCTTGTATGTAAAATGGGCAACATGAAGTCCTCTATTTTTCCTCTTTCCTCCTGCTTTGATGGTAGATTATTTCATATGGTTTCTTTCTCCTTTTCCTTTTTTTTTCCACATGGGGAATAATCTGTACTCTTGTTACTAAAGCTGTACACTTTTATCTTCTCAGCAGTTCATTTTAACTGTTACTGAGTTTAAATGAAAACATTGTTATATCATTGCTTAAATTCATTACATGTCTACATCTTTACTGCTGTGAGTAGCTTTGATTCCAAGTTGTGGTGCTTGTGGCTATAGGATATTATAGATGCAGAAAGTAGAGAAGAGATTCAAAAAACTACTAGGTAGGCATTGGAGTAAAATCCATCAAAAACTACTGAAAAGGTACAACCACCATTTTGCAAGGCCCCTGAGCTACAGGTTATTGAGATCTGAGAGAATATACCATAAAGATCTCATTACACACCCACCTTCATCTTACGTGCTTTCCCCAAGGATTGCTACTGGACGTGGTCAGAAGTAGGGTACTGGGGAAATGGAGTTTTGGAGCTGATTCAGTACAGCCAGTAGTTTCCTACCTTTCTTTCAAACGAATTTCTGCTGATTGACAGCGAGGGGAAAAGAAAGTGTTTAATTTGGTGCCATAGAATAGGAAGTTTCTGTTTTATCTGGAGCGTTTAGAATTATTTCTACTGTTTGTGAAGGATTATTCAGGATTAAGGGAACTGAACCATAGAAGCTTTCTGTAAAAGTAGTGTGAGATCAAAAACAGTCTTGTAAATCTGATAGTAAGCAAGGAACAGAAAAAGTAAAATAAACCCCATCATTAAATGCTTTATTTCCCAGTAAAGGCCATATCAGATTTTTTCCATTTACAAGTTTAACTGGGGTTCATTTGTATGCAATGTTTTTCAGTGCCAGCACTGTGCTTTGTTACTGTTCCCTGCAAAACTGGCAACAATAACGCCATAGGAATGCAGCTGTCACTCTTGTGGGTGATGCACAAAAAGGAGGAGGACAATGGCTCTGGCCATGCTCCAGCCAGAGGCCTGGCCAGTGGGAGGCCAGCCAGCACAGACACTGAGCTGGGAAAGCAGCCACAGGGGAGCAGAGCTTTTCTCCCCTTGCCCAAGCACAGGCCATAGGAGCCCGTGGTGTCTCCTCATACTGGCCCTTATTCAACCAGAGCTGAGGTGGCTCACAGGAAAAGGGAGAAACGGTGCAGGATGGGGCCTGAGGCACTGAACAAATCTTCTGCATAGGGGTGGTGCCTTTGTAGTGGAAAGGCCATTTCAGCATCCCTCTTCCAGCAGTGAAGCTGTTGTCCATTCTTTAACAGTCCTCTAAACAAAACCCATGTGCTTTTTTCCAGTCCTGCTGACAACCTGTCAGGCAGAAACTGCAGCACACCTCAGTTATTCCAGGAGTGCTGAGTTAACACAGTGTGAATACTCTGGACATAACTTGTGCCTACCACAGTTCAATATTGGTTTTCTTCTTGTGATTTATCTGCTCTTGAACTAGAAATTGAAGGGATGGTTTCAGATGTGGCAGAGGTTGAGAGGACACTTTTTGTGCATAAATTCAGAAGCTATTACTAGGTGATGTCACACCATCCTATTTTAGCTCCCTAGAGACAGCAAAACAAGAGTTTTACTAAGAAATTCAGCATGCTTTGACAGGACTTTTGGGGGTTTTGATACTGTCTAAATAACTATTTTGACCAGAGTGCTAATGCCTTTGAAATTGGGAAGGAATAAGAAATTAGATCTATAATGACCATCCACATGGTGTATTGCCTGTGCAAGGCCAAAGCTGATAGGTTTTGGGAAAAGCATCTGTGCTTTTTTAAGCTGCACTGCCCAAAGCCCCTGTTCAGAGGTACAGGGCATGGCTGCTCTGCTTCTCAGGGCTCTTATCTTCCTCTATTTTGCAGCTACGATCTCATGTGTAGATGTTGGCATCCTGAGCCCAAACTACGCCCTAGCTTTGGAGTGCTTCGGTCCCAGCTGGAAATGATTCGCGGGAGGATGTCCACACTCTCTTCCAGTCTAGATCCTCTCTATGTCAACATTGGGAAGGACGAAGAGGCATCTGCAAGTGACCCTGCCCTGCACACCTCCTTTGGAAATATGGATGCTGAAGAGACTGTTGCTGGGGCAGCTGCTGCTGTCACAAGTGACTATCGCTACATCATGACCCCCTTGTGCCTTGGAGATGATGCTGAGGGTGAAAGGCATCCAGATGGGCAGGAAGGGGAGGACAAAAGCCTGCTGTATGAGCTAGAGACAGGAGGAGGGAAAAGTTGTTAGCCTGTACATAGCAGTGACATTCTACTTTCCTGGGACTGGTTTTGTGCAGCACGATGCCATGTCGCCTGGGGCTCTGATGCTGGATCTGGAACGGCTTTGAACAGAACTGGCCAGAGCTCTTGGGCAGCTTTTGTAGCTTTCACCACCTATGTGGGCTGCAGTGGCAAACGGCTTGGAAGAACCGCAACCCCAACAACCCCTTGGATTTGGGGGAGAGGGGCAGTAGAGTTACAGATTGACCACATCCTGCTGAAGGGAGTTCAGAGCGAAGGTGGCAGTCAGAGTCTGTGCTCTGCTCCTTCGCACTGAATGTTGGAGCAGAACTGAATACACCTTCTGTTCAGTCAGTGCTTGCTCTTGTGTAGATGGTGTCTTCAATCCTGGCTGCATGACTTCGGGACTGATACCTCTGAAAACACTAGTGGGTATTTACACTGTCATTCAGGACAAGAGGGCAAGATTCCCCTCGTGTTCACTCAGCAGTACTGCCTAGACTTGTTGCCTACCTCAGTGGTTCTCAAACTGATCAGCATATCTGCTTCTACCCAGCACTGAATTTGAACATCTGGCTTATTTTATGCAGTGACATTTGCCGCTTCCTCGATCCAGGGCTGTTTTAGGAGTTTCAGATGTTTTGGCTAGCAAGGAAATTAGAAAAAAAAAATGAAAATCCAGCATTCCTCTTCATCCCATGTACCTTTTTTATGTCTTTCTTTTTCTTCCGTTTGATGCCAGTTCAGGCCTGACTAGACTTGCAGCTCACGTTAAAATGCAAAGGGAGGGAGAGCAGCTGGCATATGTGAGGACAGAATCCAACTTCAAAGGAATGGAAAGGAAACAGTGTAGAGAGGACTTAACAGCAGTATGGAGAAACACTGCCAATTAATGGTAAGTGCTGCCCTCCAGGAGAGGAAGGAGACAGCTGAGATACAGAATGGCAGACTTGCTTCAGTTTCAGCAGGAACAGGTTCCAGCATTTGCTTCAAAATCAGATTCGTTTAATCATTCTCTGTATTAGTCCTATGACTTCTTCAAATAACCAAGTACTGTAGCTGCTATAGTGACGGTGTGAAATCAGCTTTGAGAAGATGTGTGAGTTGGGGGAAGAGATGAACTGGGAGATCTCTGAAGAGAGAGGCCTCATGATGAAAAAGCTTGAGAACCACTGGCCTTCCTATTTAGGAGGTTTTCTGGTATGCTGTAAAAGTCACATAAAACATAGACTAGTATCACTGCAGCCTTCCAGTCGGGGCAAAATTAATGGTTTTGCTCTTTGGGTTTCGTTTTGTTTTCCAATCAGCATGTCTGACTCACTGTAACTGCAAATGCTTGTGTGGTTTTTAATAATTTAATATTTTACTGTAAATCAGCCTTTGTTTTGTGCAGCAAGGAAGTGCAGTTACATCTTGCTCTACTTATCCTAAATATTTGCTAGATCTTAATTTCTTTTATTTTCACTGCGCTGAAAACTCAGCAGTATCACAAGACTTAGGATTCCACATTGCACTTCCTCAGATATGAATACCACAAACATCAGCATTTGCTGAGTTGGCAAAGGTGGGACCAATAAGTCCAAAGAGATTGCACATTTGATATCAGAACACTCAATCCTTTGATGCCCAGTATTTGCCTGTTGTAAGTTTGGGATCTAACTACGAAATTCAGGTCCAGTTTCAGCCCTTAGTGAGAACTCTTCCTAGGGAAGGGGAATTTCAGCCTGCTACCTGGGCATGGTAAAGTTTCTGTAAAGTTTGCTACTGAACAGAGATGTCCTACAGGTGTCTCTAAAAGTTCAGTATGGTCTCTCAGTCACAGATACAAACTGCACCATCTTACACCCCAGGCAGTATAGGGTTTTCTCTTCATTTGGCTGGAATGCTGTAAATGCAGGTAAGAACACCTAACAAAGGGTAACAAACACCTGTGCAGTGCATGTTTGCAGTGAGGGCAGAAGACTAAGCTCCCTGCAACTGCCTGGGAAGCGCAGATGTACATATAGACTCTAACTCTGGGAAGCATGTCTTTAGTTTTTATGCATTTTTTAATAATAAAACATGTATTGTGTTTGAGTCCCAGCCTCTTATGTGTGGCAGAGCTTGTGTGATGCTCACTAACTGTATGGGGCCACAGCAAATGTCATCCCAGCTGAAAGCCATCTTTTTCCCTTCACCAAGAATGATTGGGCTACCTCTTGGAGGCAGAGGACATGTTTGGCCTCCCCGGATGACAGTTACTCTGCATTGCTCCAACCTTGAGACTGCGAAGGCCAAAATCTGATGGGCACGGGCCGGTGGTTCCACAAAGAGACAGACTCTGCAGCCACCGCTGTGCAGGAACCTGGGGAGAAGCCCATAGTGGGACATGCTGCATCCCACCTGGGAATGCAAAATCTCTGTGTCAGTTCCTCCTTGAAAACTGTTGTGTGCACCCATCCAACTACTGGCAGTGCTCTCAGCGGAAGAGAGGTTTGGAGGCGGTGGGTAGAATTCAGCTGCTGAGTCAAATGTTCCAAGCACAACATAAAAGAGCTCTGGATTTCCAGCTCACCGAGAAGAAAAGGTGTACCTCATGCTTTTATTCTTCATCAGCAAACAACACGCTGCACGCCCTCTACCTGCAACTCGTGCAGAGAGGAAGAGTGATGGTAAATGGTACTAGTGCTCACCCCCCATCTGCAATGCAGGAAAAATGACTTCCAAAGCACTAAGTGGCTGATATTGTTAATATTTTAAGATTCCAGTGCCCAGTGATGTCCCTTGGATTTGTTTCAAACGATGATTTAATCCTTTCACACACAAGCTTGGACAGACCAGGTACAAATGAAGCTGTTGTGGATAGGAGAAGTGACACCAGAAGAAGAGCTAGTGAGAAAAGAGGGAGGGTAGGAGATTTTAAAATGGGGACAGATGGGACAAGCTGTCAAGACAAAAAACAAGGGAGTCAGAAGGCAGAGATGTGCAATTTTATATATGACATCCCAGAATAGAGAAGGCATTGCCTCAGCTGGGACCAGGCAAGGGTCTGAGGTGGCGACTGGCTGTGTGTTTTGTTAAAGGATGAGATGCTCTGATCCAGCCCAAGTGCCCTGCAACGTGTTGCTCTTAAATCACAAAGAGGCTGTACACAGCTGGCCTGGCCCTTCGTCTGCTTGGAGACAGTGCTGTGCTCCTGACCTCAGGGAAGCTTCAGCCTAACAGTTCTGATTTAGGAACCAGCCTGGCACAAATTAAACAATGTGTTTCCCCCCCAGCCACCCTTTTTTTCCATCACCCTAGTACAACAGTGCAGTCCCTCCCATCCTCCCAAGCAGCAGCCCTTGTCCCATCCATTGCAGTGAGATGGCCAAGGGACAGCGCTTGTTTATGCTGAAGCAACTTCTCTCCCATACAGGTAAGCCTGACCACACTCCTCCTCCATCCACATCTCCCTGAGGATGGGATATGGTCTCCTTCTTTTTAACAGAGGCTTAAGCCACTTGGGGCAGTCACCGACTCAGTTGTGAGGCAGTGTGATCCCACAGTGCTTAGCAAGAGCACACCGGAAGCTCACAGTACCATCTCTGTTGTGTAGGAGTAGTAAATGCACGAGGAGACATACCCCTGTCGGCTCCAGTGCCAAGGCTGACTGATGGGCCCTAGACTGTGGGCTGTGCTGGCAGCTCAGCCTGCAGATATGGGGATACTCCAGCCTGATCCAGTACCTAATCAGTGTGGAGAATTGCTGAAAGTGTTCAAGGCTAATGCTAGCTCAGCAGGTGCTAGCAGTGCATGGATATACCTTGGAGCTCATACACAGCTACCCTGGGACCAGCCACCTTCCTTCTTGACCTGTGTTTGGAGGGAAGTGTTAAACTCTTGACTCCATAAAAAACACTCTCTTGAAGTGAAATGCAATTAATTTTGAATAAACATTTGAGTCTGGCTGACCAGAGAAAGGAACAATATTTGCACATCGATATTTTCCTGATTTACATTCTGTACATGGCTGGCAGTATTCATTCTCCCCTGATGTGCAGCAACCACCAAGTTTTGCAAGTCCTCATATTTTTTACCGGGGATTTCTGCAAGGGACCCTCAACACACAGTCCGAATTTTATTTCACACCTGTTGTGCTCCTTAAAATAGCAAATTGTTCTACAAACACTGGATTCGTGTGGATTTACATCCCATGGGTGATTGCAAACTCTGGGCAAAGCTTGCCCCTGGTTAAGGTACTTATAAGACTTTTTCCCTTGGTGGAGTCTCTGGTGTCCAATACAAACTCATTGAATTTCCATCTGCAATGAAGGTACCGATGTGGCACTAATAGAGTCTGCAACATGCAGCCTGTTTTCAGAAAACTTGTAGAAAATTAATTATCCTTCAGACCTCAATCTTGCCATTGCATTTGGCTGAAATAAATCAGTGGATGCAAAAGCTATTAGGGCCAACACGTGCAGCTGGTGATCAGAGAGCCTTGTTACCATGGGAAACAGAGCTAAAAATCAGTTACTTAATCCAAGAACAGAAAGGACCGATGGATATGGGTTTTGATTGCGTTTGTCATATAAAAGGAACTCGACGTCAGTATGAATAAGACCTCAGTCACTGCACTAAGGTCTAGCAACAAAACAAAGATGATCAACTCCTCATTTACTAATTACTCTGTGGATCCTCCATCTTGAGGCATGCCAAGCCAACTCATTCACAAATGCAGTTAGGTGAAATGGAACATATTTTGGTCATATATGACAGTAGGACTGAAATTAGAAGGCAGGTATTTAAGCAGTACAGAAAGTATCTACATAGCTTTTTTTCACTGGCTTCCAGTTTCTTTTCACTGGCTTAAAATAGAACTGGAAGAAATGTGTGACCCCAGGAAATAAATGGCACTTGCTGATTTAAGCTTTGCTCAGTTCAGTATAGGTTTTATGGGACTGGACTAGTTTCCAGAATAGTCTCTATAGGAGCTGGCTCTTGCCAGCCTGCAGTGTGAGGAAGCAGGAATTCATGATGAGGAAAGAGGGCTTGCGTGCATAAGCGATCTAATTGGGAGTATAATAAATATACAATGCCAGTAAAGGTGAAAAAAATGGGGAGCTGAAAGAAATGGTGGGTCATTGGAGAGAAGCACACTCTGTACACTGCAACGTGGCAGTTAGTGCTGCAAATTCAAAAGGTCGCTGCTTTCTTAATTAATATATAAGACAAGGATCCTTGCTGCTACCCTGTCATTAGCCGAGCTGCGTGGGAGACTGCTGCTGCCTCTTCACTTCCATTCTGCTAATGAATGCCTCCACAAGAGCCACTTTTGCTTGTGCAACACGGTGCTAGCAAGAGCAGAAAGCCCTTTGGTCACTCCCTGCTGCCTCTCATTGTTTCTTCTTTTTAAATTATCTTAAAAGAAGATAAAAATTCCCAAGATTCACATTGCTAGGTGATGTAAAGCAGCATGCCTCCCCAGCATCAGGTAAGGTTCAGACCTAATTAATACGTTTCCTGGTATTATTTGTCTATAGTATCTCTCCTCTTACACAAAGATACACAAAGAGGAGCAGAAATACTGTGCAGACATGTGGCTGGGCCTACGAGGAGGGACTGAGGTTTAACAACCTCTTGGTCACCATGAACCTTGTACCCAAGCTGCAGGGTGTAAGGACAAAAGAAGATGCAGAGCTGGGGCTTACACAGGGGACCCAAATCATGCCCCAGAACAAAGCAGGCACTTAGCTGTTGCCAGAACCCCTGCTAAGTGAAAAAACCTGTGTCAAATCCAAACTTCAAGGCTTGGCCTTCACTCAGCACACAGCTGGGGCAGTTTAAGACTCCTCTTCCCAGTATTTGTTTGTTCTCTCTCTGCTAAAATTGGGGGTCCCAGTGGCTGGGGCCAGCAGTGCTGGTGCTGCTGAAGGTAGCGAAGATAGATGATGCACAGAAAAGCATGAAGCACAGGCACATGTTTCTACCAGCACTGCTGTGGGGGTGGAAATCTCTGGCAGAGCAAACAGCCGGTGACTTCTCACACTCCCTCCCCCCTGTCTGATTCACTCCAGCTTGTCTGCCAACACTCCCAATTACGCCACTGCGCTTTCATTGAAGCTGATATGCTGGGCTGTACCTGAGGCAACAATTGGGCTCGCTATGTGAATTCTTTCCCATATTTTCCACCTATTGATGAAGTCTCTCTGGGTCACCGTTGAAATTGCTCAGGGCTGCTGCCCTGCCAGCAGGCCAATGTTGTCTGCAGGCATCATCAGGCAAGGATCCAAATGAGAGTAACTGAATCTATTTATTTATAGCAGAAATTAACATGGCTCGATATTTCTCAGTTTTTTCTCTTAATATACTCTAGGAAATATTGCCAGTCTGCTGAGCTCTGTCAAGCTGTAGGTAGGGACCTGGAACTGAAGACGCAGTTGGCCCATGGGGATGTTATTTGGGGATTTATGCTCATGCACTCAACCATCGTCTCAGTGGAAAAGACCTCATCCCAGAGGCCTCCTGCACCACAGATCTGAACCGCCCATTGATGATGTGAGTGTAAATCAGTCTGAAAGGCACCAAGATCATTGGAACTTGGTTTTCCAGCATGAAAGAAACACAGCTGAGAGAAGGATATAGTCTGTAATCTGGAAATACACCCAGTCTGCCTATATGCCATGCCCTGACCTCTTCTGGGTAAAGATGATCTGCTGGGATGACGTTGGTTTTCTTCCTTGTGCCTGTTCAGCTGCTGAAGCATTATTTAGCACTGCTGAGCCCTGATGCTGATCTCACAGCAGGGGCACTGCGCAGCAGCTCACGGAAGTCCAGGGGATGATGCCGTCACAAGGCTGGCAAGAATTCAACACTGTGCTTTACAGCTTGCCTGTTTATCAGAAATCTGTGAACGAAGAAAATCTGTACTTTTCCAGCAAGGCTCTAAACTTTCATAAGAAAAAAATGAATGGATTTATTTTCTCAGTAAATATCTTACAAATTCTCTGAGCAACAGAGCATCACTGACACTGAGCTTGGCAAATAAAGAAAAATATGTTCTCAGCTCAAGAGTAGTGAGAATGTGTGTAAAATCCTAAAGAAGACAAGGCTTTCTGTGG